TATTAAAAACCCGCTTTTCAACTCATTCCGTGCGGATTAATATATGACGCTACGTAAAAAGTGTAGGCTATTTTCCAGTACGTTGAATCAACACTTCTCCATTCATCGCGCAATGAAAATATTGGCTGTATATCTTTTTGTTTCCCTCGAAAACTCATGGTTTAACTAACGCCCCAACGGTAGAAGCGGGCGGGCCATTATACACAGCTACGCATAATACGTACACACCGAATTCATTTATTGCAACAACTAAAGGATTTCAGCACGCGCTGATATGTGAAATCACTGTTTGGTTTGATTTCAGTCCCCTGGCGTTTTTTACGACATAGTTGCGAATAAATGGATTTTTGAGCTGACAATAATCCCATTCCTTTTGCCGTTGCCGTTTGATTTAAACAACTCTAGTTGTGTGTTTTGACAGGTTTTTGGAGGTCAGAAATAGGTACAGCCAAAGCACATTAAGTTATACAAACTATCAAATTTCTCCACTCCACATGTTCTTTTTCTATAGGTAATTATAATATAAAAGAGCATATTGGTAAATTTTAGGCGATTTTATGATTTTTCTATCGAGAGATTTTATAAATTTACATTTAGGGTATGAATTATAGTTTATTTGGACATTATTTATTTCTATTTTTTTTTAAACAACTTCAAAAAAAGAGGAGGTTCTCAATACGACTGTATGTTTTTTCTTTTTTCATGTGTTACATGATTACTCCGCAAATTATGAATCGATTTACAAAATTCTTTTTTATTCGACAGGTCTATGGGATTTATCGAAATCCAATTAGTAGTTTTTTTTTATATAACAAAAGAATATATGTTTTTCATCAGATATAACATGTTTATATCAGCAAAAAACAATATATATACATATATATATACCCACGATGATCATAGGAATTTCTCTTTTGGATTTTGATCGAATTCAAAGCAATTCTAAATACGCTATCTTTTGTTTTTTTTTTGCTGAAATAAACATGTTATATCTGATGAAAAGCATTTTATATAATATCCTTTTTGTATCTTTATGTAATTATACTCTTGGTAAATCATGAATTTTGTGTGTAATTTATGGACGGCCCCTTAATAAACTACAGAACACCTCAGTCAGACTACAATAGTTCTTGAAAAATTTAACCGATTTCATGATAAGTATTATTTTTCACTTATCTTAAATTTGAAGTCGGCTCTATTTCTTGAAGAATGTTTTATATTACTTCCAAATCATCCGATTTGGGTATCTCGAAAATTCTCAATTTTATGTATAGATTATTTTTAACTATAATAAATTACATGTTGCTTTCATTCGATATGTGATTTAAAATAAAATTCCTACTTGTTTCTCATTTATTTATTGATAAAACAATAAAAATATCCAAATATTCGTCAAACAATTTTATGATAATATTTATAATATTCTTCTGTCTACGAGTAAAACAAACAATACCTAATTAAACTGAGTTGAATATATAAATATGAATACAGTTGAAAAAAAAATCATTTGATTACTTAATTACAAATCTCAAAAAACTTCTGCCTTCCGTAAAAGATTGTGTGCGTTATATTAATCTATGCTAGCGACATCTGTAATAATTTATGCACACTATTTAACGCCATCTGTTGTTGAATTATTATATTACTAAGCCCAATATTGTAGTCTTTTTACTCTCCGATAGATGTGATTATCTAGTAAAGCGTTTACCAATTTCTACATTTTAAATTATACATATACAATGAGTAATGGGGATATGTCAGTGGGGATTTGTGGAATAGGGGACTTTCGAAATAAATACATAATCAAAGGGTGTATTGCACAACAGATATAACGAAAAAAAAAGTTTTAAAACAATTTTTAATCATTTTTTGAAATGCTTTGCACATTGATAACATATTTTTATGTTTTTCATAAGAGCTATACGATTAATATAAAAATATATTTAATAAATAAATAAATAATAAATTTTCGCCATGTTTTAAAGAATATATTTTTGACCCGATAATGAAATACATATGAAAAGTCCAATTTTATTTCGTTTTTTTTATTTCCAATTTTATCTTTTACTTCTAAACCGCGTAGGGTATTAATATAGTCGACACAAGTCGCTGATTTACAATAATAAATCAGCCAAAGGCCTTTGATAGTTGTAGTACGTCGGAGCATGCATGGTAAATAGCACGAATTTAAAATTTATTTTTGCAAAAACACGATTTACCTTTAGATATATGAATTTATTTATCAAATAAAACTAGTAATAATTGAAAGCAACAAAATGAAACAGGGTGTACATTACGTATATAGTTTTAATTCACGATTTCCAAAACCCAATACCATAACATTATAAAAGTAAAAAAAAGTATAACATTTCTAAAATAATAAATTCAATAACAGTCAGAAATTGATCACAGTTTAAATAATAAAAAAAAAATAAGTACATTGCAACAAGAAAAAGATTCAACATATATAATATATAATTCATAGCTACTAACGTTATATATTTTAAATTATTTAATTAATCTAACATAAATAGTATAACTAACGCTAAGGTAACTTTGCTCAAATTTGATATTTCTTAGACAACACGATTTTACAACGTCATATGTCGGACAGAACGAGTTTGGAATGTCATAAAGTCAAATATTTATAAGTTGGTAAAGATGCTAGACAATAAATGAACATTATTACAAGTTACCAACCCAACAAATAATCAGTGAATATTAATATATTACAGTAAATTACTAATTTAATATCATCACAAATACTTTAGAACTTTGTTTTAATTCAACACTTCAATGGCTTTCCAAGCCATGTAAGCAAAGCACCCTTATTGAGCAACATTGGGATTCCATCGAATCAGATATTTACCAAAAGTACTTAACCTGAAATACCTAGTACAATAATAATAAACTCCATTCCTACTATAGACTTACTGTCGGTGCTGTATGTATCCAATCATTTTGAAAGCTTAACTTTTATATAGAGAGCTGCTATTAGATTAATATTGAAGATTTTCAAATTAAAAGTACATAGTTACAAGTTGATGTCATTATTATTAGCTTATGATATAAATACTTATGATCTTAGATCAACTTCATTCATTAAAACGGCATTATGAAAAGTAATGCAATGGTTACAACTAGGATTAAGTGCACGATGCAATTCTAATAAAGGGATTTCTAAACTATTCTAAAACTTTCTTTAGATCAAATGCATTCAAGTTTTATTTTGATCCAATTTGATGTCAAGAAAACCGATAAACCGTAGTCAAACAGAGTCGACTAGCAAGTATCGATTCTGTTGACTTTATTTTATTCTGACATGACACAGACGTTATATGAGCATCGAGAGAAATATATACGTATACCCATACAATGTATCGGTTCCGAGTAGATATTGCTTTTATTGCACGGAACGCTATATGTTATAGGCCGTTATGCGAGTAACCGATACAGAGCTTTATGGAACGTTTTCTTTGAATACTCTCATAAAATATGTGTCCTCAGGATACTATCGGTCGGTTTCTGAATTGAGAAAAGTGCAAAATCTCAACCGAGTATTCTCAATAACCTAAGTTTTTTTACTTATCACAAGGCAAAAATTCTTAGTTTATATCAAACTGCTGATCATTAAAGAAACTAAAATCAGAGCCGAAAACATTTTTAAGTATAGTTTGAGACGTGCTTAACTTTAAACACTCAATTCAGAAACCGGGTACAAGGCAGTCAAAAGACTGTTTCTATTATTAGCTAGAGATTCAGTCCTATTGTAAAATTTAAAATATGCGCATGGTGTTAGCACAGCCGTGGTTCATGCGGTACTGCACGTACATCATGCCGGAATTGTGCCAGTAGTAGAGCGCGCCCAGCACGAGAGCGTGCCACCACTGGTGCGAGTGACCCACGTAATCCACCCGCCCCGGGAACCACCGTTCTGGAACCTTAACGCCCCATACATGATATTATTAGCCAAGTTACCATGGTAACTATAAGTTCCCGTGGTAGCTTGCAGTTCCTATTATAATATTTAGTTCTGTGTGATTGCTGGAACATTATGACCGGCTGTATTTAAGTTCCTGTGGGAACTTAAAGTTACCTTGGGAACCTCATAATAAATAACCATTTGAAAACTGAGAAATAAAAATTCAGGATTGTCAATTTTTTTTATGTTTTTCATGCACTATATTTGTTTATTTTTTGCCAGAAACATACAAGTGCTTATGGAAATTTTGATAATATCTGATTAATTGTTGCCCGCGACTTCACTCGCATTTAATTCGAATTACCAAAGGAATTACCGCTTACACTTCCTGTCGATAAACTTACATAAGTACTAAATCAGCAAGCTTCACTACATAGTATAAAACAAAGTATCTTTCTCCTGCCCCTATATCCCTATGTATGCTTAAATCTTTAAAACTAGGCAACGGATTTTGATGCGGATTTTTTTTCATAGATAGGATAATTCAAAAGGAAGGTTTTTATATATACAAGACCACGTGGGCGAAGCCGCTGGCGGAAAGCTAGTTGAGTTATAAAGCGTGGTCTACTATGCAGACGACGAAAGGCCGGTCATGGAATGGGTGATTAAAAAAGTATTATCTCGAGCTCCTCCATGCTTCGGAAGGCTCCCAAGCCTCTAGTTTCAATCTTTTACACCTACTAATTTCACTTATCCTGACTGACCGCATGTTGGATCATTGCCATTCTCCCTATTTGCTTCGATTTCATCTATAGGAAAGGCCTCTTTCCCCGAACATTGGAATATACATACCTTAAATGCGTAAATCGCGAACGCACTGCCACTAATTACGTACATCCCAATAACTCTAGGGAAGAACATCTGAAACATAGAAAGTGGATTTTTAAGTATTTTTCATTAATAAAAGACAGCATATTAAATTCTGATGCTATGCCATCGGTTTGTAAATCTACGCCGGGAGACTAAACATAAATCAAGGCCTGCTTTTTCCTTGACGACGGTTTTAAGCGACGCGTATTGGAGGATCAAATAAGGTTTTTTTTTCTTTATCTCGGACATTAGTATGTTAAAAATAAAAAAGAAAACCAGCCAAGTACACGTCGAACTCGCGTACAAAGGCTTCCGTGCCATTATCTAATAAAAACAAAAATCAGAAATACATCATCTGTGAAAATTTCAATTGTCTATCATCACTGACAGACAGACAGACGAACAGCGAAGTCTAGTAATAGGGTAGCGTGAGGTCAGTCAGTGATCTACGCGCGTTTCTTTTGAAATAAAAAAACTGCGCTTATTTTGGGGTACCTGAGATTTAGTCAAGCAATTATGAATTACAAAAACGGAGCTAAGAAAAAGTAATGCAAATTTAAGAAGGGTGAAAAAATAACTTAATGAGAGGTTAGTGTTTATTGGGTATGTTCGATATTTTTAATAAAATGTTTTATCTATGTATTATGATGTATATCCTCTCGACTGTCGCGCCATCTGGTGATCGAAAAACAGTAGCCGGCCTTATGGGACACTTTAGTATAAGCTGACGTCCTGTTGACTTTACATTACATTAGTAAGGAAAAACTCTCACCTGCACCATTGGATTTTCGAATCCTCCCATAACGTAAGTCCAATGTAGTGTAGGGAGCACCCCATACGCCGCCCATCCTATGAACACGCACATCTTCACCAGGTAGGGCACCTTTAACCTCGGGATCTGCAGTATCATTGCCATCACGAAGATCAGCGTCACCGATGTCATGTAGAACGCTTTCAATTCCTGGAACATACAGTTATCACCATTATCATCAGCCATTTTACTTCCCCAATGCAGTGGCTCGGGCTTTCCCAATGGATGGTTACAGAGGATGGGCCATGACCATACAGTTACGCCAAAGTTTAATTTAAAATAATAATATGTTGGATCTGATTTTATAATTACGAAAATAAAAACAAGTTGTAAACTCTAAAAACACAACTGAAACCTCAGTGGTTTTTAGATGTTATCTTAAACTGCTTTTATGTATATGTTTGTTTATTTGATAATAAATGAAAAACAAAAAAAATACGTTTTATGTCGCAGTAAGATAGATATATCAGTAACATAGTTATATCCTTAGTGATATAATTATGTACTGGAACATAGTTATATACGACCGCTGTTACTATAGGAATCGTATAATTATAATACGATTGCAATGGTTCAAATTAAGCCATATAATTAGGCAATATTAGACAACATTGCTCAGATTCCAAGATTATTCAAGTCGGTATTTTTTATTTTTTATAAAACCTTCTCATATGGTAATGAAAATTTTCAAGACACGAACTTGTTATACCAAAAATAGGATACAAGATTCACAACATGTATTACACAAACTTTCAAAATGAAGACTCCGCCATACATGGGAATGTCAACAATAACAGCATACCTAACAATGTCATCTTGCCTAACCATGCTGTAGAGCATGCACTTAAATAAAAACGTGAGGACATGTAACAGAATAATTGAATAAAGAAATGTGGAGCACGTGCTATACTAAGGTCACTGTCGCTGTTATTTTGTAACATGTGTCACAGCACGGCGATGCGCCCGAGCATATTGATCGATTTAAGCAGGGTTGCCGTCAGTAATTTTATTACAATATCAAAACTACTCTGAAAAAAAGTAATATGTAGTATTTTATTTAATATTATTTATTTTACAAGAACTTTACAAAAACAATCTTTAAACGTCGATTTCTTCAAAACATATAATTTTTTACTTATTTATTTATGCTTTATTGCACAATCGAAAAAATGTACAAATGGAGGACTTAATGCCTTTAGGCATTGTCTAACAGTCAAACGGATAGTTATGGACAGAGAATAATATAGGAGCGGTGCAGCAAACCTAAAATTGCAAATGATGTTTAAAAAAAACAAATGTCTACACTGATACAGAAAAAAAAGAAATTATTCTTTTAAAAGGTCCCGTTTCCGAGATTAGCCTGATTAGGCTACACTAGAACTTCCATAGTGGGTACTACATATTTTATAAGCGTGAATATTTTGCCTCTTTTTAATTCAGATAAGTCTCCATCAGTTATCATGAGAAAAAACAAAATATAACGAGTTTTTGGATAGATTTTAAAATCGAAAAAAAAAGGGAAAAAATACATTTCATTTAAAAAAGCAACTTTAATAAACTTTGATTGAATAATAACTCTTTCTGAGTTATAGCAAATCATTATGTCACAGTGAAACAAAAACATAAAAAAATATAAAACGGTCAGTGATATTTGTGATGCGTTTATAAATTTAGGTAGGTCCATTCAAATGTTCCGTCAGAACGGCAAAAGTGAAAGTTTATTATTCTTACGACTGCGAGTTGATGGTCAAAATATTACCGTACGCTGGGCTGTAATTAGGGTTGCCAGATGGGAAGACTAAAATATCTGGGCAAAATTTGAAAAGGTCGGGATTTCGGGATCACAGTCGTTACAAAAAATCCACTCATTAAATCTTATTCAATTTGAAATTAACAACAAGTATTTACTTTTTCTGCAAATTGCAACGTCACATAATAATTATAACATTTAAATAGCTAATATAAAAACTTATTTTATTTTTTTATATTACCACTTGGAACTCGATTTTATTCTTATTCGATTTTCCGGACTCTGGATATCATACGAAATGTAAAGACAATCAGACGAATACCGACCATCTGGCAGCCCTAGCTGTAATGGAGATTGCATCTGCACTGTTGGGCCGTTACTTTATTACTGTTACCTAGTACATACAGTAGCACATCAGGTTACGACAAAATTTATTTCCGCATTCGATGTAGTAAAGTTAATAGGGATGACGACCAATTAATTTTTATTGAAGAATATTCAACATACTTATATTTTTTGCGTAATCAATAAAGTACGACGAAACAATGAGTCGAAATGTCACATGACGTCACGCTTTTGTACATTTTCTACACAACTATGACGTAGCGAGACCCCACTCCTCAACTTTAATGCCTATTATCCATTTCTTGTTTAAATTGAAGCAAAAAAATACGTATTGAATATTTTTTTATTATCTGACTGACGGACTAAATACAATTTCTTTTTTTTTACCCAGTCGTCATCCCTATTATCAAAAAATTAAGGTTTAAAATAGATTGGAGAAATTCGAGTTTTGTATAACTTACCGTGCTGTTGAGTGTACATAAAATCAACAAATGAACCAATGCTAGTTATTAAAAACAATGATCTCTACAATATCAAAGAGGTACTCATAGCTCGCATTGGATGTGCACCTGTCTCCGATATGATGTTTTTTTTTGTTTTGAGTTAACTTTGATATGGCCTTTTTTTAATACGAATTGAATTAGACCATAGTTTTTTTATCTCTGTTTATAATGTATTGATCTGGTAATGACATGGTTTTTGTAAATGTCATTACTCTTATTAGAGCTGGTGAGTTTCTTGCTCGTTCTTCTTATCAGCCAAAAGACGTCCTGAACGAGTGGTAGGGAAAAAATGTTGGACGATTCAAAAGTACTTTTAAGAAGTCTATTTGAATAAAGATTATTTTGACTTTGACTTTGAATGAATTTTTTCTTCTTCTTATACGCTATTGGCAATCATTTTAATAGGAATCGAATCTATCCAATAAATAGGTAAATACATTATGTAGATTTACATTATTATAGCAATTTCTAGATACTATATTGATATATTGTCCGGTAAGGTATCTTGTACATGTGGAGTAAGAGAGGGTATACGTAGGTAATGCAATCCGGATACTTAGAAATTCGAAAATAACTGGATAAATTCGGAATAACAGACCTTTTAATCTGGTTTTTAAAACTCAAATCGTTTTTTCGGATTCAAGTTAAAACTAAATGAAATTAAATAAACCGAGCTGAGCATACACATTTTATGAAAATTCCGATTCTTCACCGATCAGTTTTAAAGAAAAGCTCAATCGTCAATTTCTCTTTTTTTGAAATCTGACTGAGAACATCTATAATTACCGTTGATGGGTAAAGCCTTCCCCTATGTTAAAAATAAAGAAAAACAGGTTGTCTTTTACTATCTACCCTTTGACGATTTATTCACTAATCCGCTCCTTTATGCTGATGTTTCCTTTATGACTGTAGGACATAATTCAAGATACAAAGGTATCGCATGACAGTAGCCTCTTAATACTCTCGTTACCACATATGATCTAGACTCTTTAGACGTCGTGATTAGCCGTGACATCATCTATTTAAAAGCTGGGGATTTTCTAATTAAATAACACAACTTATAGAGTTTGGGCTGTTTGATTTTCCCTTTGCATAAAAACTTTGGTCAAAGACAATCACTACATAGTATAAAACAACGTCGCTTTCTCTCTCTCTCTATATGCTTAAATCTTTAAAACTACGCAATGGATTTTGATAGGGTTTTTTTTTCATAGATAGGGTGATTCAAAAAGAATGTTTTTATGTCTAATACAAGATTACGTGGGTGAAGTCGCTGGCGGAAAGCTAATATCTATTTAAAAAATATATTATTACACGTCTAAAACATCAGTCTCTCATCATTTCCTCAAAGATGTGCATTTTGCACTTTAAAAAGTTTGTAACGAAGATTAGAGAAGAAGGAAGTAATTTAATGTACCCCTAATATCAAACATCCGCATCACAACATATTGTATGATGTACGTTTGTGTGACCATTACATATAATGGTCAACTCAATACACGCACTTGCCCTTGCATAAGTGCTAATTAGCAATCTTAGAAAACACTACACACATAGTTTATTACGAGAGAATAATCCATTATATAATGTTCTCGTTATACTTACCTACATAATAAAAATATTAATAATCTCAACTCGACTATAAGCTACTTACATACAGTGAGTTAACTAAAATATGATATAGCGACCTTCTTTCAAACGATTACCGGCCAATAAATTTCTGCATACTATTTTCACTTTTGCATTCAGACGTTCCAAATTCCAGTGCAATTTAATCTTAATAAATTATAAAATAAACTTCTTTAAGTTTAAATCGAAGAACATTCTCGCCGCTTGATTTTGTCACAAAACAAGTTAGTTAACAATGAATAATTTCTAAGTGGACAGTAATTCTTATTATTTTTGTATGTTCTATAAATACGTAAACGTATCCATTAAATCTCTCGGACTAAACTTCACTGGACACTTTCTCTCGAGACATAATAAGCGAGCATTAAGACACGCAGAGTTTACCTCTGATCGGGGTCAGCACACAAGTAGGGTTGCCAACTATAGCATTTGCTGTGATTTATGATTTTTTTATCATATTTCATATCATATATTCATAGTCTTCATTCCACTAGCTATCAATAATATCTGTTACTGTCACTGTTTCACTACATCATACTTTTACTTTTAAACGAAAATAAAATATACAAAAAACTGTTTCTATCACCAAAATGATTGCTTAACGCTTTCAATGTTAGAGTTAGACGTCACACAATCGTTTAAGTCAGTACTGCACAGCCCCAAACAAATCGCGATATTTAAGTAAAAAAAAAACATGCATTAGAAACATTTTTCTAAAATACCGTTTAATATTCTTCTTAGACTTAAACGTATTTTATTTCGTGTAAAAAATTGGCAACCCTAGCACAAATTCGTAATCTTATAGGAATCTATTGCAATAAAAGTAGTATATTCACAAACGTTGTTAATTTGGATTATATTACAAATAACTGATTTGATTACAAATAACAATATGGTAATTAAGGTTATTTAGGAATTCGTATACCAAAAAAACTACGTATTTCTTGAAATAGAACAATCATAGTAAAAGTTTGAATAAATTTTACCAGACTTACATCCTCTTACGATACATTCTCTTGACCTTTCGGCTGGTGCGAGATATTTTAATACAATTGAAATAATCCTCAACAAAATGAACGATGAATATTTATTCATATAAAGTTTCATATTGTTGCCATACGTTTTGTATAAACCGATATAACAGCGATTTGAATAAATAATTTATACAAAACAATCGGTGACAATAAACTCTGAACTTATGACGTCAACGTGGACAAATTTATTATACATAAATTATATTGTCAATTGTATGGATAAGATATGATAAAAATTATACAATCAACTTTAGATCTTATCATCAATAATAAAAAATATATATGTTAAGACGCGTCGAACATAGAAAATCCTCCTATGCGATTTTTATATCATAGGAATGCAAAATACGCTATCTTTTGAACACTCGTCTAACAAATAACACCCTCCAATTTTAATTATTTATATTCTTAAAAAAACGATGAAATCACGATAGATTTCAAAACCGAATCAACAAAGTTTTTAAAATCAGGAACCAAGTTGGATGAAAATTATTTAGAACATAGAAACTATTTCGTATGGCAAAAATTTGTATCACACTAAAAGAGAAAAATTACAAATCCAAAGAATCATTATATTGGAATAGGTCTTAGAACGAGACGAGATTGCAATGTTTGTACCTACTGTGAATGTGAAAGGATACAGTGCAATACTAGATCAGTTTGCATGCACACCCTTCACGTATCACGTCTATCTTATTGCCAGTCGAAAGATTTTGTCTCGTTTTCACTTATGTCTTGACATTCAACCTAAATTTTAACATTACAATGCTTGCAACTAGTACCAGGATGAAAGGACATTAGCGTTATAAACCACCATTTGACAAATGAGGTTTATAAAAGGAGTATAACGTGGACATAGATGGAGGAGATGACTGACGATGAAGAATACAGACAAATCCCCAAGTAAAAATCAAAAATCAATTCGCAATTGCAATCATCATCATCATAACAGCAGTAAAACGTCCATTGCTGGACAAAAGCCTCTCCCAAAAATCTCCAAAACGATCGGTCGCGCGGTTCTCTATTAATGTTTCTGAGCAAACGTTACTTTCGCCAGAAAGACTCGCCATGTTTCAATTCATATTAGTTTTAAAATCAGCTATGAAAGACTGACAAATGGAACGTACGTTAGAAATCCTAAAAGATTTCCATTTTTTGTTTATGGTAGGAAACTTTAAAAACAAAGCTTTAGATGTGACCAGACCCTTATAAGCCACGATCACCTCATGCGAGCTAATATGCGTTTACGTAACTATAGAATCTAGAACGCGTCGTTAAACAAGAGCAAAGAAAACGTTCACACTGAAGATGCTAGAAACGAGACTCAAATGGTAAGACAGAAAATACATTTATGGGCCACGTATAAAATATCGTTTTACCTACCTAATAAGTGTGTATATTAAAAAAATATAATTATGACATAGGAATACCATAGACTTAAGCCACATAATTTTCTACCAAACGACGTTATACAACTATATACGTTATATAATATTTTACTATGAGATAACACAAACAGACTGTAAGTGTACATATTCATTATGTTCATTCATGTGATTGCGTCGCAATTTTCTCTGATTATTTTTCTACATTGTAAAAGAGACTAGCTGATTTCCCGCTACTTCCCATGTTTGATATAGCTTCAAGTCTGTAGTCAAAGTCAAAGATTTTTTAAAATGTCGTCCATTAGCTTCAGTATCTATGAAAACAATCAAATTTTTCCTCTCTATAATTTTATAAAACAAAAATATACTACGTATATATTAATTCAAAAGTACATGGTGATAGATACTTACACCGTCAACATAAAAAAAATGTAGAAAATCGTAGAAACATCAACAACTAACCAATATTATAACAACTACATAATATGCCCGCTATTTAAGTGTTTATTTCATATGGCGCTAGTTTAGGTATGATGTTCTAGACTGAATATAAAGTTAATTTCTTCTGTTCAAGTTAATATTAACAGGCAAAAGTTTATGAGTGGGAATTAAATTCTCTTCCTAAACCTAACTTATCGTGAAAAACTTGAAACGCATGTATAAATAAACAAAGCGATTTCGAATACTCCGATGCTTGGTTAGTTTTAAGAAAAATTCAGTGTTAGTTAATTTCAACAAAAGGATCTGTTTGTCTTATTTCAATATAATATCTGTTATACCCCATGAAACTAACTTTAGGATAGATATTTTAAACACGAAGAACATTAGAAATTTTAAACAATGGGGGACCTGGTGACGTCTCTCACAAATAACGTGTTATTAATTAATTAATAAATGTACATCCTTTTGTAAAGTTGTTTGTAGTGAGAAATAAAGTTATTATTATTATTATTAGCCAAATAGAAGTGGCAAAAAGGTGGCGTAAAACGTCCACGTTATTCATCGGAAACGTAGGCCATAGCGGTTATTTTCTACATTAGGAATATTAGGTAACAACTGATAGAAACTCTACCATAAAGTACCGTATGCACTGTATAGTTGAGAACCATAGGATATTTTGCTGTTCAATGCGAAATACCCTATGGTAAACGGAACATATCTGCTAGCTGGCAACTTCACTTTACTGATGAAGTGACCATTTGCGAAAAGTCGCTGACAGAATCTGAATGAAACCATGCGTGAGCAAAAAAGTTCTATCTAAAAACAGGATACGTTACGTATTAATAACCATAGCCAAATGGCGGGCAGTTAACCAAATACATTCTAAATGTGAACGTTCATACGTCAGTATGCATGCACCGTCCGCATGACATGCAACGGGTTATATTAAAAAATCTAATGAGGTCATCAGCATAATTTCAGCGTCAAATCGGTCGCTGCGTGCGTGCTAAAGCAGTAGATGAGTACCTTAAAAGTTTCCGATACGCAAAAATCTTACTGGATTACAGTTAATAGTTTTGTTATATATCAGTACACAGACACTTATTCTTCAGTGTTGAATTAAATAAAGACCTTACAATTTATAAAACAATCCAATAAAGTGTCACTTGAACTTCTACACACTGACACTTCTAGCTCTAAATAATATCAGTAGACAAAAAACCGCTCCGCAGTATTAAATCGAATTAGGTAGGAACTGATAAATTATAAACAATTCCAATAAAGTGTCACTTAAACTTCCAAATATTGAGCCTTAACTGACTGAGCTCTTTGAATATACTATTAATTATCAGGTACTCACATGATGGCACCAAAACGCGTAGTAAACACCAGATGTGTAAATGGCCAGCAATGACAGTGCGATGCCGAATAGATCGTACATCAGGAACGTGTTGCAAACGTCCTCTGAACGACACGAGAAAGTATGGTAGAGAGCTGACGATGCCATGCATATCTGAAAATAATAAAAAAATACAGAGCCATGACAAACAGAGGAGCTCGATCGCGCTGTGGTTAGGGCGCTCGGTATCCGCTACGTTTGTTATGCAACATGTGCAATGGCCGGTAATAGGATGGGTGCCCAAAAACGTATTATGCGTGCTTCGGAAAGCACGTTAGGGGGCGTCCATAAATTACGTGAGATGTTTAAGGGGGGAAGGGGTCGAGGCAAATCTCATCTAATCTTATGTTGGAGAGAGGGGGGTCTCGGCAAATATCACGCATTTTTTTTTCTGATTGAATAAAAAAAAATACTATTTTGGTCCATTTAATCCAGATTGTACATGCTTAAGATTTAATCTTAAGCGTAATCACATACGATTAAGATCATTCACTAATTCGTTCAAAAGAAAATAATTTCATTCATACTTCGACGCTATACATCTACTGAATGTCAAACCACCATATTTGTAGGGTTTGAACGATACTTCCGATACCGAGTAGGTATCGATACTTTCAAAAGTGATACTCGATACTTCAACAAGGCAAATACTCGCAAGTACTCATCAAATTGCATTTTGAAAAATCTCACGTGAGATTGGGGATGGGGGAGGGGGTTGAATAAAATCTCACGACATCTCACCAGGGGGGGGAGGGAGGGACAGAAAATTTAAAAAACACCTCACGTAATTTATGGACGCCCCCTTAAGTCGTTGGTCTCAACTGCATCTGCAATCGTTAATACCCACCATTCCGCACTGGGTCTGTACGTGGTAAGTTATGGCTCAAACTCCCCATAGAATTTAATTCGATTCCATCAATAGGGATTGTCTGAACCCCTGGTGGTGATGATGATGATAAACAGTCGCCAAAGAAGGCGGACTATAAATTTATGTTTGAAAATTCAACAACTTTATCTAAACATTTCACTTTTGTTTATTGTTGGTTGTTAACTTCTCCTTTTTTTACATATTATCCAAATGCTTGATATTTTACAAACGGGCCACTAAATCGAAAGATGATCTCCAAATACAGTATCCGTTAGGCAAGTCCTATAATTAGGACGCCATCGATGGACAATGACAAAATCATTCTCGTTTTAAGAATTTATTGGAAGAACACCAATATTTTTTTCTGTTGGACCACAATGACGTCGTGAAGATCATATTTATGAGAATCATACCAAATTACATGTTTTAGTACCAATAATGTATATCTGGTATAAGCTAAACCGTTGACAAATGACGAAACGTGTTATTGACTACGAAAATATATGACGGAAATCTAAAAACTGTCACTCAATAATCCTCTTCTTAATTTTGATTTCTATAAGCTATGTAAACGCGACGTAAACTATGATAATTTATATAATAGGGATGGCGACAAATTGTTTGTTTGTCCGTCAGGTAAATTGATGAAAAATATTAAACACGTATTTTTTTTCGTAATCATCGAGTTAAAATGTCACATGACGTCACACTTTTGTATTTTTTTTTACAAAACTGTGACGTAGCGAGCCCTCACTCCTCAACTTTAATGCCTGTTATCTCAAGTAATTTCTTGATAAATTAAAGTAAAAAAATACGTGTCCAATATTTTTCTATTATCTGACCGACGGACTAAATAGAATTTCTTTTTTTTTTACCCTGTTGACATCCCTATTATGGTAAGAAAATAAAATAGAGATAGATATTGCTTAGCAATTTTGTAGAGGCAAATACGTAGATGTAGTACGTTCTATAAAGAAAACAAAATGTGAATTGCAAGGTTTCCTGAACTTTAATCTTTTATTGACAACCATATCAATAAAAAGAAATTTCAATAAATAAACACACTAAAGTGTGTTAAAAGTATACGCTGCGTTTGTTAAGCAACATAAGTGGTTGGTCTCAGCTGCATCTGCAATCGTTAATACCCACTATTTCGCACTGGGTCTGTACGTGGTAAGTTATGGCTCAATCTCCCCATAGAATTTTTTAATCTCTTCTTTTTCTTCTCTTCATTTTCTTCTCAATCTCCCCATAGAATAAATTTTTATTGACAACCATATCAATAAAAAGAAATTTCAATAAATAAACACACTGTAGGTAGATACAACGACGCCATTGTAGAAAATGACAGGTGTTATCTAACAGTACACATTAAGCATTTTTATGCAATGTCTTCAGAAAGTTTAATTATGAATCATAACATAACTTTTAGCTACCAAACTACTTTAAACAGAATTGGAATTTTAGGAGAATTAAGAATGCCTTTTACAAGCATTTCAAATCAATCGACATAAAACTACCGTCAGAAATGTAATAAATTATAATATGGAACATTACCAAGATATAGTGTAAGAACGTATGTTCGAGATATCATGCATTAACTCAGTAAGTTGTGGATAATAATATATTTTATTTTAACATATTATTCTTTTAAAATTTAAATAAATTCCACGAGCGCGACTCAAATACTTCGTATGCACGTCTGATTCGCTACTGATCATTATTTCTACAATGCCGCAGGGAAATAATAAAATTGAAGTTTTATCGAATAAAAAAAAAGTATTTCAAATCAAATTAAACAGCGATTTGTGATTTTATAATAACAAAAATGGGTTAGGTCCTTCGTTAACAAATAAAATAGCCAGAACTCTTAAAAATTGTAACAAATTGATATATACTTTCACTGTGAAAGAAAGCAGGCCGCCATCTCAGGCGAGTCGACTTTCAACGCGAACACCAATGGTGTCGACTCGTCTCGCTCATTTCATAACAAACTACGTCACTGTAACCAGCCCTGCGATTCTGTAAAAATCCATATCCGAATTCGAATTCACTCAGGTCCCCGAATTACTTCAAAAAGCTGCATCCACTCAATCTTAAATTGGTAATAACGTTTCTTGGCATAAGTGAAGTGAGTTTCGAAATGACATAGAATATCTGAGACACGTATATTCAATCTATTTTGTTTTATATTTTTATACAAAAAAAAAGGAAGCAATAGAATTTCTATACTAAATGACGTGAATTCAGACACATGAGGGAATTCGAATTCGGGTCTGGATGTTTACAGAATCGCAGGGCAGAACAGGGATGTCGACAAATTTTCCTTTGTTTGTCCGTCGGGTATATCATTGAAGAATATTAAATACTTTTTTCTTTGTGTAATCAATAAATTAAGGCGATACATTGAGTTGAATTGTCCCATGACGTGATGCTTTTATACACTTTCTACAAAACTGTGACGTAGCGAGCGCCCACTCCTCAACTTTAATGACTATTACCTAAGCCATTTCTTGGTTAAATTGAAGCAAAAAATCAAATACGTATCTAATATTTTACTATTCTCTGACTGATGGACTAAATAGAATGTCTTTTTTTACCCAGTCGTCATCCCTATTACTTTACGAGGTATATCAGTAATATACTACATGGTAATTTATAAGCCGTTTTATTACTAAAACGATCGATACTTTAAACTACCACTAATAACATGATTCGGTTTGATGAACTGCGTGTTGTACAATGTTAGTATAAACATCGTATTTAAAATTCAGATTAAAAACACGAGTAGAATGAGACTTATATTATTATTTAGGGAGTGAAGGTTTCGTTAGACGATGATATCTAATAAAACCGTCCAAGAGCGATTCGGACTCTCGCGAAGAGGGTTCTAAACCGATAAAATAAAATAAAAACCTTAGATTATTTAAACATAGAGGCATTTTGTTTAATTTTTCAAATTTTAGGGCCAGTTTTGGATATTGGGGTGGAATGGTCAGATTTGGTCACTTGTAAAACCATGAACTTATAAAAAAAAAAATATTTCTTCTGTCGAACTTTTTCGTAAGCTTTTTTATTTTTCTAATTCATCCAACAAAAGCAGTCACCTTGCTCAGAGCATAGACTAAGATGCCATTTTTAAATTTCATTTTATACGTGCAGTCTTTGGGTTACCAACTTACATAGGATATCTTTACTTACACATATTTTATATATATTTATTAACCAAATTTCATTTCAATCCGTCCAGTATTTCGGAGAAAAAGAGCTGTGACCAATAGTCCATAATTACTTACAAATTATCAATCATATATTTTCCATTCTGGTACGGAACCCTAACTACGAATTTATTTGAAGTTTAACATAGTCCACCTTCAATAATGAAGTAATCAGATTGTTTATAAAAGTTGTCAGGACTTTACTGATGCTGATCTAAGATCAAGATAAGTATAATGTGAGCATCAAATTAATAATAAAATCACACTAATATATGTAATTTGTTTTATAGCTTTTTAACGTGTTAACATTAGTATCTGGTTTCAGTTTTAGTTTTATAGGTTTTTAATGTGGTCAGCTTCAATATAATGGGGGGGTCGGAATATATACACTAAATAAGATATGCTTTAAATTTGCTAACATTTTACAAACGGTACAATTTTAGTACAGATTATAGATCATAATGCATCAGGAGTGATTTCAACAACAGTCAATCCATTTCGATGTTTTAGAGGAGTATGAAAATGTTCATTAAAAGCATAATTCAAATAAAAAGCATAATGTTTCATCTGAACAGACCTCTTTCAGAACCTCTGCAGACTTCATGGCCCTGTTAAAAATATATTTATAAGAAAGTACCAATGGTTCCAATACTGTTGCACCACATTCTAACTAAAAAAAGACTAATTTTGATTTAGGTTTTAATTTCATAAACAAAGTTTATAATATTTCTAGATTCCATGTGTTTACTTAATTGTAGAATTAAAAATTATATTGTCACATTGTTACTAAAATATGCCCAAATTAGCCAAGACACAATCAGTACTATTATGTTATTAAACTGGTTTGAGACTTACCAAAAAACATGAGAACAGTATCCCAGCCACAATTTTATCGGTAACTGTTGCATGTATATTAATGATGACAAGATCATTGATGGTAAGGAACAGTAACAAGAAAAAACCGAAAATATGTGTCCAAATATTCATAGTTTCGTTTGTCCACCAGAATATGCTAAAACAAAATATTAATAAGGTACTGTCAATTAATAAGGTACTGTCAATTAATAAAGTACTGTCCTTTAATAACGCCCACTGCATGCATTTCAGGTGTGTCTTTAACACTGTTACAGTAAAAAAAAACAGTGGGCATTATTAGGCAATGGTACCTTAGTTATTTATAAAGAAAAAAATATATATATATAAGCATATACATATACTATAAGCACTATAAAAAATATGTATCTTTGGGTTACACAAAAAACAATTTCAATAAAATATATTTGAATATAGCATTGTGAATGCAAATCTCATCTAATATAATAAAGACTAAGTAGATAATAAAACAGAATAATCAAAATATAACATATTTGAAGTGTAAGAGCTTTTTCACAGAACTTATTATAGTATATAGTACAATGAGTAAATAAAAGTAATCATTGACATCAAACCTGTAAAGTGGCTCATTTATTTATAACATGAACATAATAGAGAATTTTAAGAGGCCTTAATATAACACAGATCATGCTAGACCACTCTATAACTCATTCAATGTGAAATATTTTGAAAAGTACTGTTATTATTAACTTTCATTCTCAAGTACTTTGTGTTAGTATCAAAACTTTCTAAAAGATAAGACTCTCTAACAGCATAAGAGTACTTAGTTACTTTAAAGAACTCTGTACATAGTCAACACCAAAATCATTGATTGAAATTCCATAGATGTCTTTTATTCTATAGATGAATTCTAGGTCCTCAAAAATAAAATGTAATTTTTGGAAAACAATAAATTGCAATATGGTAAACTTAATATTATCTGAGGCATGCATGTAGAAATCATGAGATAGTAAAACATACCTTTCCCAACATAATTTTATTGGTAGTAGTTTCCTATAACCATCCCTAATATAAGGATTATGCTGCAAATATTCAGGTGCTTCTTCATATTTAAGTAGTTTCCTATAGTTGATGTATTCTAAATCTTCTTTGGTTAGATTATTATTATCCTCTAACTTTTTGCCACGTCTAAGTAGTGTACTATTTGTGCAGTAACTGTCTGTATTGCTACATTTTTCTTCTAACTGCAATCATAAATTATCATTAATAATTAAGATTCATAAAACAACAATTTTAGGCATTATAGCCTGATACAAATACGAGAAAAACGGAAATAATTTGATATAAGCCTGGAATATTTTGAATCGAGTTTGTGAGCCAATTACAAGAGACTATATTTAAGAATCCATCTCATTTTAGCTATGGAAGGTATAAAAAAAATCAAGTCAAAAAAACTTCATTTCCTTCACGCAAAATTACTAACACATCTTTTTTCACAAATTTTGGTTTTATTTATCATAGCGACAATGAAAATTACTGAAAACCAACTAAAAAATTTACAGGAAATAGTTTTTTTAAACTTAATTTTATTTTTTTATTAGTTTAATATGATAAAACTTTTATTGTGTTTCTGAGTGGATTTCAATAATTTTTAGTAGTGTTTAACTCAAAAATCTGCTGCATAGATTGCGTGTTATATATTTTGCTTCATAAGTAAATATTGGTATGCAATATTCCCATGGAAATTTCCTTGGATTCAAAACAAATTATACTTAATGTAATAATACCTATTGAAGTTGTATTTCATTGTTAATATAATTGTTTTTTTACAAATCTTTTTTAAACATTTATTGTCCATGTTATATAAAAATATGAGTTTCCAAATATAATATTAGGAAGATTTATGTATTTCATGGAAGTAACATAAGTAACAGCGTGAAAATATGTAGAAGTCACTTTATATGTATTTTGATTATCATGCCATTGAGAAATTAAAGGAATCTTATTTTTTTTACTAATAATCCGAAAGAAAATGTCATTGGATTAATTCATGTATTATAGAGGAAATATATGATACCCTCATTATAAAAAAAAGCTGTTATGTTTTAATGTTTGATCTCCATACTGAAAGTTGGTATTTGTATCAGGCTATTATTGGAGTATGCTTGTTGTTAAACGTTGGTTGATATTCACAATTATTGTAAAATAAAATCTGACACTAACAGAAATATTGAATGACAATAATTAAGAACACAACTTCGTGTCACCTTTTGAAAACTATATTAATATAAAATTGAAGATATGCAAAAACTAATTGAAACAAAAAACTACTATTGACATAATAATTTCCAAATATTAACTAAAATAATCAGCGGAGGAGTGTGAAAAAGTTAAAACAAAAACTGAGCTTGTCAATATTTTGCATTAGTATTTAGCATATTTTGCATTATTATAAAAAAATATTACTTACTTTTTCCACAGGCAAAAATTGAACAGTTTCAGCCTGACATTCACTAACTTTTTTAGTCATAGTAAGAGACATATTAAATTATAATAATTTATCAGTTTTTATATCACAATAATTCACAAACGTGTCAAGAAGAATTAGATGAATTATTTACACAAACACTATTATTGTTAATTAAAGCACAAAGCGGTATTAAAATATGATCACATCATGCATTAACACAATCCTCGAAATACTTTCAAAATTAATTTCTAAACAGACTGTATTCACACAAGCAACACATATAATCCTCATGAAATCTTAAAATAAACTACTTTTTAAATTAGGGATGTCGATATTCATCGATGTTGAATAAACATCGATGTTTAGCTAGAAAACATCGGTGTTTTGTCATCGATGTTTTAAATTGGATAACATCGGCACATCGATGTTTTCGTGCCAAACATCGATGTTTATGAATAAAATGTCAATATACTAGCTAGATGATTTCGTATATCAATTTCAACTATTTTACACTAGATGTCACCGGTTGTACTCGTAACTGGAGTACGCAAACAAATAGTTTTTCTTTGCTTGCATTTTCCTAAGAAATTAGAAATAAATCTGTCAACTTCCGCGCTCTTTGGTATCTTATAAGTGACTTTATTCACCGGTCTTCATTTCAAAGATCCGTACATTAGATAGTTCCACGTGCGAGTGCGGAATCGAAAAGGTACCACTAATCCCATCCTCTTCAACTGTCTGAAACAACCTTCTTTACATGAGCAACTTCCATCTAAAATCCCCCGTCCCATTAACCTAAATACTATCATGGCGACTGATACGTAGTGACATCTAATTCATCGCAGTAACATCGCCACAACAATCGATAGCAAGACGAACTGCAAGAAGTTTCAACACCAAGTAACGAGATGGCACTGTACCAATACAAATATAGTATTATAAATTAATAACTACAAGGCAATTACAACAAAGAAACCTACATCGCACAGAATAAGTTTCATTACCAATTAGAATAAATAGAACGTCCAACCTACATCAGTTAGACCGCGGTCCCCGGGCTACATATCCATTTAAATACCAGCTGCTATACTTAACTGTTGTCATTTAAGCTATCTATTAAACAAATTTATGAGTATATGATTAACTTAAATTATTTAATAACTATTACAATAAAAAGTGGTCATCGTAAAGAACCTAAAGAAGCAAGGTTGGATAGTTTCGGCACGATTCTCATGTCACTATAACTCTACCAAATTTAAAACGTTGCCTAACCCCTTCAAACGTTTCGGCAGTACAGTTTTTTAATTTTGTCAGACTATTGTTTATTCATAATTGTTAAAATCGTAATCTGGGATTGTCATCCATTATGAATGCTACTGCCTTTCTTGTTGTTTTGCCGTTTTCCGTGATTAAGTTGTTATTGTTTTATTTTTGTTTTGTTTTTGTTGTTAAGTTTTGGTAAAAATGGACGATGCCGGTTCCCGAGTGGCCTACAAAAATTACGCTCAAAGCCCCCATACCTACTTACACTTTCAATTAGAATTTATCAAAACAACAGACATATAGTTTCAGTTTTAGTTCCATGTTGGCTTGGGAGTAAAAGATGAATTTATAAAATGCTGGCCTCATCTCAAACCCGAGGTATCGTAAAAAAATAGAAAATCGCCTAGCTCTTTCAGACTACCTAACGTTCAAAGTTTCAACCAAAGTAATAGATATTTTTTAAATTTATCTTGAAAATAAAATGTTTTGCACTGCTGCTTCTATGACCCTCTTTTTTCTAATGTTATAATGAATGGAGTATAGCTCGGAGGGAGACCATAATCCTTTGGTCTCCCTGGCCAGTTGTTTACATCACCACAGTAGCAACCACACATTCAACCTTAAGGTTCCTAAACTATCTTGTCTATTTCTAACATACCCATATTTTTGCGTCTTGTAAGCATATTAAAAAATATAACAATACACTATAATCTACATGGCACTATCATATATTTATTGCGATATTTTTTATTTAATTTATAAGTATAATTTGTGACGTTTGCTTTGTGTTGTACTTTTAGAACAAGGGAGGAAGAAAACTATTAAAACCGTTACTGAACAATTTCTCACTATCCCGCAAAATTTCTGTGTAAAACAAAAAAAGGTCATTTATATATATAAAAAAGTTACTTTATGCTCCTTCTTCTTTTATTAATGGCTTATCTGCGCATTTCGCATAATTCTGCCAATGTCAAGTGAATAAATAAATTTCTACATGTAAAATGAAAATGAAACGAATGAAAGATGGCAATGATCTATTAGTTTCTACATGTAAAATGAAAATGAAATGAATATACTTTATGCTCGTTGGGCTCGTTCTCTCTCCGTGAAACTCCCGCGTGATTTTTTATGACACTTGTCTAATTCCAACTTTTATGGAAAGGGATAGAATCCACCTATCCCACATTAAAAAAGATTGCATTAAAATATTTATGTTGCACAGCGACTTCTACGGCTTTAGAGAGGCTTTTTTCTAAAGCTGGTCAATTCCTTTATCAGCAACGCAATCGAATAAAGGGAAAATTGTTAACCAAGCTACTTTTTTTGCAAAGTGTACATAATATTGGGATCAACGGTTTCATTTATTCTACTTTTTAAATTTGTAACAATAAATACTTGTTTATAAAAAATACATCCAGTTTTATTTTTTTCTATGAAAAACATCGATGTTTGGGGAACATCGATGGTTTTCAATTGATATTAATCGTACATCGATGCCTTTGAATCGATGTTGACTTCGATGTCAATATCGATGTTTTTCCAATATCGACATCCCTATTTTAAATAGACTTGCTGCAAAATATCGATTCGTCACTATGTCCGGAATCGATATATTTTTGTGATATCGATCTTTTGAGACGATATTGAAATAATTTAAACCGATATATCAATCAAAAATCTTATACAAACAGAATATTATTAAGGGTTCCGTACCCAAGTGTAAAAACAGAATAAATACATTATGGTAACTCCCGTAACAACAAACTTTTTTTAGTTAGTTTATTTTTTGGTTATGAAGTTTTTCGATGTTACATCGATGAGATCGATGAAGCCTTGAAAATTAAATGCCTATATGGAATTATGGAATTTTAGATCACTGATGCACCTTTCAGGTGAAAGAATCAACTTGATGTTTTCAGAGTTACTATACCCATAGCAACATTGACAATTCGATTTTCTTTTTGTCAAACGTCATGAAAGGGGTAGTATTTAAAAAAAAGTTAGTTGTTGAAAGCAAACTATCACATATACATATATAAAAGCAATTTCACGTAACATTCGGTGTTAAAGTATGAAATTACCGTTTTATTGTAATAGATTTTTTGAATTGACATAGAATCTTCATGGTGTGAGGTTTACAAAAGAAATTTTTTTCACACGTTTTCTATTGGCTTTTAAAAAATGTGAAACATTTGAATATCGACTTTCAATGAGGAAGTATTTAAAAAAAAACGAAACCACTAAAAAGCACCTCCGCTAGATGATGACTCTAACAAAAGTTGATTTTTGCAGGAAACGAATGGACTAAAGACAGTCATTTCCGTTTCTTTTAACTAACATATTAAAAAAACTGAAATTTGAAAAGTTCGAAACTTAGATATTAATATAAATACGAAAAAGTACAAATACTATATGAGTTGTTTATTGAGTTTTGAAAACTAATTTACTTTTAAACATAAAAGAAAACCGGAAAGGTTGTCATGGAGAAATCAAGAACGTACCGTAGCGACATCTAGTTTGATTTCGGGAACTAATGTTTTTTTTAATAATTTCTCATTCTTTTCTCTTTGGTCTATCGTCATGAATAAGGAAGTATTTAAAAAATAAAAATTAGTTCTTGAAGTCAAACATGATTGTCTAAAATATTCATTCAAATTTTGTTTCTGACGTCATAAAAGTAAATTGAGTATGGAAGATTAATAAATATGACATCTTTTCGTGTTGTTTATAATATCCAACTTTCAAATCAATTTAAATTTATTTACTTGTAAAGGAACGATGTTTGGTTTATATGTCAACATTAGTGATGAGCCAACTTTTAGTTGCTCGTAACTTCAATTGACTCGATTCATTCGATTTTAGGTTTGGAATCAAGAACATAAAGCGGAGCGCATAATTCTGCTTGTTTTTTTTTAATGTGCAGTTTTTCCATATGTGCCTTTAAAACTTAACAGAATTCTAACCTACTGGGCTTGTTTCTTTCTTTTTTATATTTTATTTAAGTTAACTTTACATGTTTTTTTTAAAATTAGTTTTTACGCAGTATGATTTTTTGTTTTTCTTTAAATTGTTTATTTTTATTTTATACTTTTTAGTTACGATTCATTGACTTCGTTATAAGATGGTAAATTCGGCAATCTAGTCATTTCATCGAGGGAGTTCATATCGTTTGTTAAACAACCTTAAATCGTTATATATCCTAAACTATTATTTAAAATGAAACATCATAAAGGGAACCTAAAGATGATTTTAAAATACTTATTCAACGACACCCCACTTGACATAGTTCATCGATTTTGGTTTGGCGCTGTGGTGAATTTTGATTACTGTCATGTCTTTAGTGACACTTGCTAGGTTAAGACGAATCGATTGACGTAAGAATCACCAAAATCGGCCTACGCATTTGGTCTCATACATACATACATACACACATACACATACACACACACATACACACACACACACGCACACACACACGCACACACACACACATACATACATACATAGACTGATAAACACATTACCCTCCTTTGAGTCGCGCAGTCGGGTAAATAAATATGGAATGCTGTATGTATGCATAGTAGGTTCCCCATAGCGTTAACTACTTCACCATTGAGCCAATCCACCCAGCATTCCTCGCTGGGTCCGCGTGAAGATCCCAATGAAGATTGGTGGTGCTAAAGCACATATTATAAATGGATAAAACCAAAACATCTAGAAATTCTAACTTGTTCTCGCGTGAAGATTCCAATGAGGATTTTTCTCACTGGGCCCGCATGTAGGTCCTAAGCGGATTGGTGAAGTGAAGGTGTTAATAGGATTGGTGGCTCTCTCTATATATATGATATTCTACTCAATAAACCGTACTGGGCATGCGTGGTCATGCTAAATCGTTCCGCCAAAAAATTTTACCACCTCTCCGATTACCGACTTTTACGATTGTCGCTTAACCTCCGCAATCGCAGACCAAATGCGTTGAACACTACACCGAGCTTTTCTCTTCTTTAATGTGTGGTGAATGAATGAATAGGGTTTATTAATCAGCAAAAAAGGTCATAAAATCGATAATTATAATAAAACATCCGTTTAATATCTATATACATATTCTGGTTACAATGACGTCTGTGCAAATATAACGTACAAAAAAGTTGTCCTTTCGAAATTCAGAATTAAAAAACTGTGATTAAATCTTATAATTAAATCATCTCAATAAAAATTCTGCAATTAACAAGAAACGTCCATTCGAAACGAACAACAAGGTTATAACTTTAAATTTCAAAATCACAAAGATCCGTACAGTTATTATACTATCGCTACTGGTCTTGCATGTCGACGGCAGACGTCGAGCTAGGTGTCATGTTATTCGTACGATGGGCATGTGCTTTTTTGGTTCTTACAATAATATCAATAATAGATTGACTTCCTACTCAACCTACTCTAAAAATCTGTTTTATTGAAATATATTACTTATTAAGTACCTAGAGTAGTCATGCTCTCTTAAAATATCTGCGGTGGTGTCGCGTGCGTCAGGTCGTTACGTTCCCTCAAATATAATTGAGCGAAGTTACATCTGGCTCATACGTCAAGCTCATCAAAGGGTGCTGCCAGTGGGGTTGAGTCTGCACTGGACTACTTAATTTATATTGATTTGTCAATTGTATTATTTCTGATATTGTAATGGAAAATTACTTCACAGTCTAATTAAGACACATTCCAATAAGACTTCTCTGTGTGAAATAAAACAGGGAGAAAAAAGCAGCCCTTGCTACGTTTCTTGCCGGTTCTTCTCAATACAAGATCTGCTGCCTTAGTTTTACGAACCGTTGGCAAAGTTTTCGACTTTCAGAAGTACTATGTAACAGCCTAGACTGAAATGATTTTTTTTTATATTAATATAATTCGACGTGAGGATGCGTAATGGCACATACGGAAATACTGCACATAAAAATAAACAAGCAGAATTTTGCGCTCCGCTTTTTGTTCTTGATTCCAAACTTGAATTCGAGTCAATTAAAGTTACGAGCAACCAATAAGTTGGCTCATCACTAATGTTGACATATAAATCAAACATCGTTCCTTTACACGTAACATAATAAATAACTTAAACTTACGATTCAAATAAATTAAAATTAATTTGAAAATTGGATATAATAAAAACACGAAAGGATGTCATATTTATTAATTTTCGATACTCAATTTACTTTTATTACGTTAGAAATAAAATAAAATAAATATGATAGACAATATCTGAACATCGCTAGTGACGTCTAGTTTAATTTCAAGAACTAATTTTTATTTTTATATACTTCCTCATTGCCGATTAGAAAACAAGCTTGGTCGGTCATTGTATGGATGACGCCCCTTAGCAAGATACCGGTCGGAACTCTGGTTGGCACCATGTGGACATCTTATAAGTTTGAATATGCAATCATTATCATAGACTCTTTAGACACATTATCTGAACACATAAATTAATCTTGAAGTATATCGGCCACCATAGTTATTTTGTTTTTATTAAATATTTGGCGTTCATGCTTAGATCATAGGTTCATGTTTTAAGTCTATGGGCTTGTGAATATCACCTACAATAAATATAGCCACCGGGATTTATATTATTGAATGCTAAAAGTTAGAAAGCTCATATTTTTTGTAATTTGCTTTAAAACTTGCTATCTGAAGCGGTTTCAAGACCATCATGCGACATGATATGACATAGTTTAGGTGTAATATGACCGTCATGCATAATATTAATATCAATAATTTTTTCTCGGTCACAAATTTGTATAAAACGACTATTTTGAAAGAAAAGATGTAATCTCTAGAAAGACGCAGATATCGCACACCTAGATCTAAACTAAGACAACTCAAAAAAACTAATTTGGAGGTTTGACAATACATTTGTTTACGTGGCAGGAGTGCAACCATTGTTGATTCACCAAAAGAAAGCTAAAGTTATCTAGCAGCTCATCCCCGAACCTTTATTGAATCTGTTATGTTGGATAGATGCGTATGATCACCAAGTATTTGAATATTGTACTAAGTCAAAACTCGCTCAAATTTTTGAGTTGTCTCAGTTTAGATCTAGGTGTGCGATATACTAAATATGTTTTAAAAAGACTGTTGAATGACATGACACATCCGGAGGTGATTCTGGGTGCATGTCAGTCAAAGCCTTTTCATATCTTGCATGATGACAAAATATAGAGTAAATAGCATATCTTGTATATCAATCAAACGATTACGGTTTTATATAACAGCACATAAAACATGTCATGACATAAGCCATGGCTTAAGCAGATCATGTGGCATGCGTGACGTGCGTTACGTGCTGTTATGCATGCATGACCGTGTAATTGCATGATACGAATTTAAGTAATGTATGTACATGCTCGTGCATGCATGACAGCACATAATGCATGTCATCTTGTGTGATCGTCTAGGGATAATTTAAGTTTAATGTGCATTATCAACACAAGAACTTACTTTATAATATATCATTGCTTATTTATACAAAATAATATTGTTCCGATACTTTAAAATAAAAAAAAATGTTCCTATGCCACATTTAATTTTGTTTTATAGCAAAATGAAATAAGCAGATTGATTTAACCAACCTATGTGTTTTATTTTAAAGCAATATTATCACAAATACTAACAATGAACATATTGCTTAATTATATTATTAACTACAATGTTCACATTATATTCTTGACTCTCAACTTTTACATACCTGAAGAAGTTTCAAATTGCAAAAATGTGCGTTAAAATAGCTTTGTACCTACTTTATTATCCAAAAATAGCGCCTCAAATATTTTCTCGACAACATTTGTTTTGACGTCATTTCCACCCATGTATTGTGTTGCTAGATGTTTGACGTTTTGCAAACAGATTATTTCTGTTTTAAGAAGGTGTTTTGATAAAAAGATATTTATTTTATTTTCGAATTACTTGAAATACATATGTTTCTCAAACATAATATGTAACAACTCTTTTTATGTAGGTTATAAGGCCTTATTTTAATTTAAATTGTAATAGAAGTCTCTTTTTACTGGTATCATTTTGAAAAATCGAAAAGGGAAGAATGATGTTGAACGAACTTCATAAATGGTCGATTTTCCTGTTTGCCGTTCTCTATTCGTGGATTGTGTGATAATTTTGTCCCAAATCACGTCTTGTTTTAATTCGCACTGTTTTTTATTATAAGTTCTTATTATTTTTGTATAAGTGTTTACAGTTTATAGAATTTCTAAATAAAATCCTATTAATTATTACATAAAACGACTTGGGTGGTACATTTGCGTTTAGACGGGAGCCATCTTGCAATCTCTAATCAAAGGTCCTTGGTTCACAGTTTCGTTGTCTAGTTGAAACTCGATTTATTCCATCATAAAGTAATCAAATGGCGTTAAAACGAATTAATAGGGTACGTATCGTTAAGTTTCATATTTATGTCAAGAAGTTCGAAGAATAAAAATCATGTGCTGTATGAATCTGCATCAAGACTTCGTAGTGAATGTTTCGTCATTGTGAATATCTATCTATTGAATTTTATTCTGGATAATTCCTTGTGCGTGATTATTTTATCGAAAAATTCTTCAGAAATGAGAGATAATAATTAGGTTGTAAAACTACAAAAGAAGTGTTTTATTGGTTGATGTAGATGACAATTTGTGCACACGGCGTACATAAAATGTCGGAATTATGTGCCAATTTTGAGGTTTTCTTGTATGATGATGTATCAGTGACGTGAAAGTGTCCTGCAAGAAATCTTGTGATAAAGCATTTTCCGATGATAACATTTACATTGGATTCGTTTGAAATGATACGCAATATAGTTTATTTTCAAAGTGATGATGTGACAAGTTGTTATATCTGTATTGTGTTTCCTGTACTGAATGGGAATCTATAAGAGGTTTCTGTTTTATTGTTTAGGAATTACAAGACCTCGGCAGAGATCCCCCAGCACAATGTTCTGCAGGTCCACACGGTGAAGACCGTAAGTACCTATTGATCTACCTACTTCTTTTTTGTGACTCATTGTCTCGTTTATTAATAATACTGAGAATACATGTCATATGGGAACAATAGAAAGGGTTTGTTATTGATTGTTTATTTGAAAGTAACTTTAGTTTTATTTTGTAACTGTTTCTGTATAAATTGTGGATTTCTACATTTTGTAAACATTTACACTTTATATTGCTGATTACTATTTTGTTTTTTTTTTAAATCTACACAATCAAATAATTGTGGGAATATAAAAAATATTCTTTTATTTTTCAGTTTTCCATTGGCAAGCCACAATTATGGGTCCAGTGAGTATTACAATTGGATTTTATTTATTAACTGAATTGTTTTTTACCGGATTCAGGTTTTGTGAAAAGATAATTGATAATAGGCCCAAAGAATCTCAAAATGTAATTGTTTTTTTTAAGATACATTTTGAAATGATCAAAAACTATAAACTCACTTATGTCTTAAGGTGTTATCCACAATAGTTTGATAATGATATTTTTGTTTACACTACAAAGATTCAAAATGTCAGAACCTCTGTTTAGACATTGAAAATGTCAGATCTATTCCAAGTGCACAGTAATTTCTTAATTTATTGTGTTTATACTTAAAATTACAATATATATTTCCAATAAGTTACAATTTCAATGTTATTTAATTTTATTTTCAGGTTGACAGTCCCTATCAAGGAGGCGTATTCTTCTTGACTATACATTTTCCTACAGACTATCCATTCAAACCACCAAAAGTTGCATTCACAACACGTATTTATCATCCCAACATAAACAGTAATGGTTCCATTTGCCTTGACATTCTGCGTGCACAGTGGTCACCAGCATTAACCATATCCAAAGGTAATGCCTACATATTTTATAAAATGATGTTTTGTTATCTCAGGTTCTCAATGGCCAAAAGTATTGTGATAGGTTACACAGTATTGTAGGTATGATATTACCTATTGCTTTCATTTTAATAATTGTCAGGCCAATTTTGTATTTATTGAATGTTCCATATTACAATAGGAATACACATTTGACTTTTTATCTAGCTTGTGTATATTTTATATACTCAAAGTGCATGTTTAACTGGGCCTGAAAGTAAACTTAATATTTAAACAGTTGATGCTATTTAAATGACAGTTTTATGTATAAAAATGTAAGTCTTATGTTTTTCTTTCAGTGTTGCTCTCAATCTGCTCGCTGCTATGTGATCCAAACCCAGATGATCCTTTGGTACCAGAAATTGCTAGGATCTATAAAACTGACAGAGAAAAGTACAATGAACTAGCCCGTGAGTGGACAAGGAAGTATGCCATGTGATGAGTCAGTTGTGACATCAGCAAAACATACACACACATCGCCACAGCCCGGGCTCTAACCCTTCCCCTGTTCCTGCTCACCAATTATCTGATATCCCTCATTAATGACCCAAATTAACTGGAAATTGTGTAAATTATTCATTGACATTTAAGATCAATCTAATTTATGCCGTTTATTATGATTCTAATCTGCAAAATGTTGCATCTAAGTAAACACAATACATGTGCATAGTTTCTGTTTTTATTCTGATAAGAAACTTTCTGTAAGAGCAAAATTATTTTTTGTTAAACCTTGATGTGTCCGTAGATGTCTTTCACTTGTTTAGTTGAGGGTTAGTTAAATTTACATTTGAATTTATGTATTTCCTAAAGAATTTGTACTTTAACTAGATCTAAATTACATTGTGAAACTGTACAATAGTCATATGTTTAGGAAATGGAGCGTTCTTGCTTACTACTTGTCTGGTCTCTTAAGAATTTTCTTGATGAAATGTAAGTAAAGCTCATAAGTGTTAAGAACATTTTGGGTAAATGTAAGTAAGTGGTAACAAAATGAGCTCGTTGACAGGAGTCGAGTGAGTGTTAATTTTTTTTACTAGAAAACATCTTTTTAAGTTAGTGAATGTAGCGTGCTACAAAGCAGGCTGACATCAATTGAACCAGTCAGCTTTCTTTCATCCACAATATTTTATAATGATTGAAAACGCTCCAATAGTTACAACTTCAGTATAAATTACAGTGTATCTCATAAGATGATAAGTTACGATTAATCTAGATTTTTTTCAATATGGCGATCTTTATATTATAATTTTATCTAATATATATTGTGGTTGTAAGGATACCTGCGTTGTGATTTCCGCAATATTCCTATCCACATTCACCATCCTTCGTTTCCTTAGTACCAACCTGATTGAATAATAGATAGCATTAATTGTCTTGGCACGAGTGGCAAAATAGTGTGTTATACAGCTGCAGAATGAAGTTTGTCACTTCATTAAAACTGGGAGAGATTAAAATTTAAAGCTTTTCAAATTGTAATCAATCAACAACTTGTATTTTTAGCTTCACTAAATTGTAAGAAACAATAAATTATTGTGTATGTAAATAATAAACTGAGCTTTATTTAGGCTACTTCCTGGTGCGTAGGCAGGCTGTTCTAGTTAAAGTACAAAGGCATCTCTAAAAAAGTAGATCACTTGCCAAAATGCCGTCGTGTTCATGGACATTATATTAAATCTCTTGCGTTTATTTTAACGGAAGTTACAATTGGATTACATTTTGGATTTTCCTTATATGCTACATTATAGGTAGTACAGTAGGTAGTCTCGTGTCACAGGGAAAGGTTTATGCAGAGCTTTATGTGCTAAAATTATAATTTTCCATATGCATTCTATGTAAGTCATTGATAAAATGACTTAATTATCTGTCACTCGTGATGATCAGAAGCAGTTACTGATCTATTCTATACTTCAATTACAGCTCAGCCTTGCGATTCTGTAAAAATCCAGACCCGAATTCGAATTCACTCGAGTGTCCGAATTCACGTCATTTAGTGTAAAAATTCTATTGATTCCATTTTTTGTATAAAAATACAAAACAAAATTGATTGAATACCATCATCGATATAATGATTTTCATACACACAAACCTATATCTTAATTAGCAAGCCAATGAACTCTATATGTGCGCAATGATGTTATATCAGTATTTTTATCGCAATCTTGTTTTTGTTACCTACTTTAAGAAAAAGCTGAATAGCATTTTTGTAAATGGATTTAGGTAGAGTCAAGTTGGTTGGGTTTATTGATATCTCTTTCTGTATTCACCATAAGATAGGTTGATTTTTTTTATTTTGTAGGTGATTTTTTTGCATTACCTACTAATATTTTCTTGGATGTTTCAGTTTATATTCACTTTCTTACCTCGGTTCCTTACTTTCGAATATTATTGGTCCATATCCTCGATTATTAGAGGCATTTCGGGTTCGACAATCACGTCTGGTTACCATTTATTTATCCAGTTTATTTTAAATAATCCACAAAATATGAAGGCTTGGAAATAAAGTGGATAAATTAGACAGATTTGTTAACCTGAGTTGCTGTTGACTGTACTATACAAACATCACATAAGGTTTGTTCATAAGTACTTAGTGTACACATATGCTGCAGTTTTATAATGCTTAAAAGTTTATTTATTACTAAATTATTAGTAAGTAGTTTATAAAAAATACTCAGACTTCATTTAACGGAACAAACGTATTCAGTAATCGCTAGAAGTTTGTTTCACGCCGCCACGGACGTGGGTCCGAATTGACTTCATTTAGTGTAGAAATTCTAAAGGCTCCATTTTTGTATAAAAATACAAAACAAGTTTGATTGATTATACCTACGTGTCGCACGGATGCCCTGATATTCTGCAAATTCCTAATCAGATTTGAAATCACTTTAAAAAGCGGCATCAGCTCAGTGTAGTGAGTTTCGAAATGATATAAAAATAGAATATCTGAGACACGTATATTCAATCAATATTGTTTTGTATTTATATACAAAAAAGGGAATCAATAGAATTTCTACACTAAATGACGTGGATTCGGACACATGAGTGAATTCGAGTTCGGATTTTAACAGAATCGCTCTGCTGTTTACGGAAAAAGCTGATTTAATTGGTATCGGGTTCTGCTTCGTTACACTTTAAGAGCATTAAGCGTGTAATTTATCAGACACAGGTATAGAAGTGAGAATCTTGTCCTGATACTTGGGAATACATTAAGCAGGTAGGTAGTTTGACCCGGCGGCCTCCTTGCCGGATCCCGGATCCTTCCCCTCTGAAAGGTTGTAGCGGGTTTTATCAAGTAGGCTGGTCTCCCTTAAGCCTGTCTTTTCGGGGTGGGTGCATTGTCGGAGAGCCCTCGTTTAAGGCTTAAGGTTACATGTTGCCTGTGTTATAAAAAGGTATGTCAAGTTTAACCTGGCGGTTAATCCCTAAATATTCAAGTAATTTTACTGTGTTATTCTAATACTTTGAAAAAAGTTATAAATTAAATATTATTTAATACTTTTGACTTATACTTCGACTTCTATTCCATTGACATAATAAGGCATATAGGTATGTATGTACCAGTAGAATAATTTGATATGAATCGTCCTGAATCCTTCCTGTTTCACGTATTTCTAGTGACATATTCCCGTGGTAGGGATCTTAGTTGGGATATACCTATGGAAGTTTATAGAATCAGTAGTCAATATCTACTGATCCGTACTGGTCTTGATAGATGAATTAACCATTTACCAGTATTATACTTTTACTTACCATTTTAATGAAAAATACACTTGGTCCCTGGCACCCTGAGATGAGATTCGAACTCATGGCCTTTAACTATCCGGGCGATTGCTCTAATCACAGAGCTACCCAGGACTGACGAATCTTTCAAGCACTTGTAACTATTTCGCTACAATGAAAATTTTTTATTTCGCTACAGAGCTATACTGAAAAATATGCTTAATGAAAAATGCTTGAAAAAATCCTTTTTCCCTGGTACTTTGAAAGTGAATTTTTAAAGCATTTTTCATTAAGAATATTTTAATTTCATTCTAGAAGCTACAAAAGCAAACTATTAGATAAAAATATTTTTCCAGTCTAGTTTAGATATAAGTAATTAAAAATCAGTGGTACTGAACTCGGACTTGTTTTCGCAATGCACAGTGGTTAGAGCAGTCCTTTGTTTTCACTAGTTCGATTAATGAGCAGTCGCCCGAATGCGACAGGTTGCGGGTTCGAGTCCCATCTCAGTGTACCTGGGGCTGGTTTTTAATGAATTTTCATTAAGAATATTTTTGTATTTTCATGCTATATAGGTACGAGTATGTAATCCTATTCCACATATCCCTACTGACAAATCCCCACTGGTAGGGATACTTACATACTATTGGTGTCTTATGATCAGTTGCACAAACGTCTATTAAGGTTTAATGACGCCTTTAAGCTCTTATGAATGTCAAATTTGTATGGGTAATGTCGCTTTAAACTAATAATCATTTTAATGAACGTTTTTGCAACTGGCTGTTAGTAAAGGAAATAATTAGAATATTCATCTGACTCGAAAATGAGAACGATATGGCATCACGAGCAAACTGAATTAAAAATGAATTCTTGAGACATTTTCGTTAATTTATAAGTTCGTGGCGAAATAGGGATAAGCTGCTAAGGTTCATATTCCAGATCAATTCCAGTAACTGTTTGATACATATATTTACTAGGTCGAATACATAGATTTATTTTAACCAGAGATTACACTAAATCTTTTATTATCAAAAGTAAATCTATGGTCTTGTACAAAAAAGTGAAACTGGTAAAACATCAGGTATAGGTATAATTTTTTTAATTTATTAAAAACTTACATAAATCGAAGATATTAGAAAGGTACATAATTTACAAAGGCACATTATAAATCTAACCGTACAATTACAGTTCTGTCGTCTCCATATTTTTAGCATTTTTCATTTGTTCTAGTTGCTGGTAGAAATCGTATTTGGCTTGGTTATTTGGTACTTCGGTTTCATTGGAATCGATTGACGGAAAAGCGCCTGTTGTTATGAAGTAGGGCTTCTCGTTGGACAAGTCTTGGTCTACGGCGTTTTCGTCAAGCGAGTCACGTTCTGAATGGCTCAGTTGATCATCTGACTTATACCAGTCGTTTTCATATGCGTGCAGCCATATTGGATTGGAGCCTTTTGTACTGTGCTTGTTTGTGTTCGGTACTCTGCCGGTGCTGCGAATCGTCATATCTGATTCGCCGACAGTCGGGGTAGCTGCGACAAAAAATATGATTGAATAAACTACATTATAGGCAGTTTCGATTTGACATTTATTCTATATGACGCTCGTTGCAGTCTAGCGAAACAAAGAGAAAATTAGCAATAAACGGCCACTCTAGTGAGATTAGTAATTAAAAGAAAGGCTCCAATACCGCTTTAGCCCCTAGTCACATGAGACATCTATTCCCATCATGTGAACTTAATGTTCTTTAATTTTAGACAGAAAAATATGTTCACGAGCTTTATAAAGCTTGATAATAGGGTATTTGAATAATATTAAAAAATAGTTTTATGTTATTCTTTATTACATAATAAGCACATTATACTTAGTAATGTTTGATATTTCGGGGAAATTTACTGTATTTATCAATACAAATCCAAGTAAAAGTTAAAATTTCCGAAATCGCACGAAATACGCTGTCTTTCATATGCCACCATTATGTCCCGTATGACGTCACACGCTGGTAAATAAACAAACCTTATTTTTTATATATTTTTAATGTTGTCAAATACCCTATTCAGTATATCGTGTCAAGCGTATCACTCAGTATCCAGTGCGGAGGCCAGGCGCTGGCACACCTAAACAAACTTCTAGCTATTTCTTGATGAGTTTGTTACATAAAAAAACGATTGAGTATTTTTTATGAACTAATCACAAATAATTTAGCAAGCCCGGATCAACGATTTTTTTTTAAACCGGGGCAGACACTTACTCTACCGCCCCCCCCCCCATTCGTGAAGCCTGATGTTATGAAATTTTTCCTTAATTTCATTTCGGTTTTTGAAGCCGGGCCTATAATTTAGCTACTCATTTTTCACAAGTAGTTTGGGCTACTTATTCACCATGTGTTCCATCACCTGACCTCCGCACTGGGTACCGAGCTATATACCCTTAGTACTTCAACATACTGAAATATCAAGCTTTAAAAAGCTCTTGCACATTTCCGTCACGAACTTTTGTCATCTGAACCAGTGCCTAATAGTCTAATTTGAATGTCTATTACAATTCCTTTAAAACGTATAGCGGTTGTGATAGTGATGAAACGTATAGCTTTTGGAACAAATGATGATTTGAATGACATATGTCATAGACAATCAATTCCGTTTGACATTTCCCAATTACTTTCATAGATATCTGTAACTATGACTTTGCTTCGACAATTTCTATTAACGTCAAATAAAAGTTATCGTTCAATCAAATTGTTATCATACGTCAAAGAGTTGTAGTGTGAATCTTTCAAATGTCAAATTTAAAGCGACTGAGATAGATTTTAATCATCATCATCAGCCCTTTTACGTCCCCACTGCAGGGGCTCAGGCCTTCCTTATGGATGGTTATGGAGGATGGGCCATGACCAATGCGGATTGGAGGGTATTAACGACTGCAAATGCAGCCGGGATTAACAGCTTAACGTGCCTTCCGAAGCACGAAGTAGCTCGAGTTAATTTTTTTTTTTTGGTCACCCATCCCGTGACCGACCAACGATCGCGGGCCACGGCGCTTATCCACTACACCACCGAGCTACTTAGATATTAAAATTAGCTAATTATGCCATAGGTACAGTACATATCAGAGACAGCACCAACCGTATACTTAACAGTTTTACTAGTACAACTCACAGTAGGCAGTAGCGGTGGCAGCTTTAAGTCTCCGCACGTAGTCGGCGCGTTGAGACAAACACATAAGCAGAGCCAGAACTAGCAGCACGCCGAGGAACAGCGTCGCCCACACGAGCCAGAACACCGCCTGATTGGACGACAGCGATTCAGCGCGCAACGGCTGATACTCGGCCGGCTGGGTGTCCAGCACGTTGAACTCCTATAACAACATCACTGCATAGTATAAAACGAAGTCGCTTTCTCTGTCACTATATACCCAGCACGCGTAGCATGACAAACTCGAGAAACGCTATATCTACACCCAAATGTCACTTTCTCGGGTCGAGAGTGAGATATCGTTTGGACGCACCCGAGAAATGTGACATTTGAGTGTACACAAAACGTTCTCGAGTTCGTCATGCTACGCGTAGGTATAGGTATCTTTATCACTACGCAAGATTTTGATGTGTTTTTTTTCATAGATAGGGTGATTCAAAAGGAAAGTTTTTATGCTAGAAACAAATAAATAAATATTAGACATACCAACAAAATAACATATATAAATATTAGCCACACATACTATACCTATATCAATAAAATAACATGTCAATATTAGACAACATCACATACATGGCTCAGATTCAAAGAGGAGTTGCTAAAGCCCCCGTATGATGGATTAAGACAACGCCCAGACTCGAGACAAAATAGAAAAGTCAATTTTCTACATTCACTCGCGTTGGCGCACTCTACATGGTGTTTTATTGATGTTATATTTATTATTTACACTACTCCACTGTAGTCAGAATGCTATTATTTTTCGATTTGCAACTTACACCAAAAAAGTTTTTCAGTTAATTGAGGAAATTTGATAGTTTTGGTTACACTAATAGGTATACTGTTGTTATCGACAGTAATCATGATAGACTTACTACATTTTTTACAATGATTTTGATCAGGTCAGGGTTCGGAATGATAATTATCAACGGCAATTATATCGATAAATATACCTTGGTAATTATAATTAAGTTATTAAAAGAGAATCATTTTCAAACAACTATAAAATATGTTCTTTTTTGTTAAGGAGAAAATTGTTTAGGGTGGATCTACAAAAACAAAAAATAATGCACCCCCCTTTTTATTGTTATATTTTGATTTTACTTTTATTAAATGTGATTTCACAGTTAATTTTTTTGTTTGTTTAATTTTTATTATTAAAAAACATAGTATACTCATTTATGGATTTTTAAAATTGTTGCCAGTAACCACGGGTAATTTTCTGATAATTACGAACCCTACACGTGCCACGATATGCATCACAGTCAATTTTTTTTACACTAATCAAAAACATAATTTTAAAATTGAAAAATATTCTTAATGAAAAATGCTTAAAAAATCTACCTTGTCCCTGGCACTAAGATGTTCATAAAAACTATGATATTTATAAAAAAAAAATTAGAACCGTATCGTGAGGAACAAACACCCAAATAATATAATAAATGTCATGAGCAAACATTCAATTCCATCTGTCATGATTTCTTTTGATGAAATTTTAGTTACTTTTACCTTAAACAGTTCATCTAGCTGCTCGATATTCTTATCCACAATCTTCAACACCTGCTCCACCTCCAACACTGAATGGTCCTGGCCGTTCACCAGGTGCAAGTATAAATCTGTTTTAGTATTATCCACAGATCCGTCTTTATTCTCGTGTACTCTCAAATCGTCTATATTGACTACCGCGTCCGCAACTCGAGCGAGACGGTCGCGGAACGTGTGTATCTTGTCCCTCACTTCGGATGGGTGGGCGCGGAGTACGAATCGAACGCGTTGGTCTTCGCGTAACAGATATATGAACACGTGAGTCTCGTCGTGTAGACCACCAGTGTCGTTCGCTAAAACCTGTAACAATATTTGATCTAGTTAAAAATGTGTTTTATCATACAGGAAAAAAATTATAGTCAGTGCATTAAATTTAATATCGTGCTCGTTGTGAATCGCTATTACGTTTTCTTCTTTTTTTTTAAACTCATATAATAAAAAAAGATGTCTTTAGACACAAAATGAAAGCTATGACAAATGGGAATCAAGAACCTAACAGGATCAATAACAATCTGATCGATTTATTATTATATTTTATCCATTTTGCATTCAAAATGCTATACTGAAAAGTATTCTTTATGAAAAATGTTTAAAAAATCCACTTTGTCCCTGGCACTCTTGAGATGGGACTCGAATCCATGACCTTTCGCAATCCGGGCGAATGTATTGATGATCGATTATGTTGATGAATACATATATATCTAGGTCTAATAATTTCTATAATCTATATATATAAAAATGAATCGCAAAATGTGTTGGTAAGCGCATAACTCAACAACGCCTCGACCAATTTGGCCAAATCTTTTTTTAAAATGTTCGTTGAAGTTCAAGGATGGTTTTTACGGCGAGAAAAATTAGAATTATTGCTGGAAAAACCCTAAAAATAGCCCTTTTCTTTTTCCCATACTAATGATTTGTAACTAAAACGTAGTCAATTTGAGCTTTATTGCTATGGTATAAAGTTCATATTAAATTACAAGCACTCACTGTTGTCTAAGCAATGTAGGTGTGTTCCTAACGTCAAAGATCATATCTATCAAAACAATGTGCGTGTGTGCGTTGGAGCACAGAAAACATAGTTGGAGGAGTTTAATGTCGCGTTCCGAAACTCGCGTTTCTTTTGTATTAGTTTCGGCACGCGAGATAAAATGCATCAGTTTCCACGTCATTACATGTATTGCCGGAACATTGATGAAAATACGCTCTGTAGTAGCAAAGCTGTTGGGTCCTAGATAGCTCATTGGTTAGAGCAGTCTCTGGATCGCGAATGGGTTCGAGTCCCATTCCGGGGTACAGGTAGATGGATTCTTCCACCATTTTTCCTTGAGAATGTTTATATATTTTTTTAATTCGAATAGTTTACTTTTATAATGCTGTTGTGTGTAATGTGTTTTTATGATCATAAAAATCTCTTTTTTCTATATTTAATACTATTACTATTAATACATTGCAATAATAATTATGATTCACATGATTAACAATAAAGCGATTACTTACTTTTAAATCCTTATATATGTTTTATTTAATTATTTTTTATTCACAACGCCCTATCACCAGGGTGACGGTTCTGTTCAGGAGAATTTTTTTAAATACGTAGGCAAAAAAACTGCCACATTACAAATCTTTTTGACAAGACGAAGTCTGTCGGGTCAGCTAGTATTTAATAAAAGTATTGCAAACGCTTAGAAACAATATTGGAGTCTGAAGGAAACTATGAAAAACAATGAAACCAGAATAAATATCAAACGGAAACTTTGTAATTTTAAACCAACTACATACTAAATTAAGTCTTCGTTTTATAATAAGATTGTTCAAGTTTAGGTACCCTTTTAAACGTTGTTCCTAACTGCATTTGTAGTTGGTACAACATACTAATTTGTACTGGGCTTTCATGGTGCGTTTTGGATGTATTATCTCTGTTTTATTCATGGAGAAAGCAAGAGCCCTTTTGATAACTATTATAAATAGGTATATTACTAAGCAGCTGATGGAGATCCAAATAAAACTCAAGTTCGATGAAATTTACCTTGAAGTCGAAATAGCCTTTCATTCCTTTCTGCGGGTCGAAGTTAAGAGAGATGGCGCCACTGTCTACGTTGACTAGAAACGGTGATACTGCCAAGTTCTCTAAACCTTCTGTTAGCGTTTCCTTCACTTCTCCTAAGAGGTAGTACGATATCTTTGCATTATCGCCCTCGTCTATGTCTTCAGCCTGTCGATGAAGTATTTATTTTAAAATTACAACTATTTTAAATAAGTTTTTTTTTTTACAATTACGCACAGTTGTTTTAAATTAGAATTTAACCCGTTTTGATACAGGAGATAGTATTCTTTTCGGCAACCAATATACTGATTGGTTTTATGAAGCAGAAAGTTTCATTTTATTTGGTAATGTAATTTATGAGACGGAACAATGATTTCAACTTTATTAATAGTGGATAGAATCTGTTTTATGAGGAACATAACATGTTCTCTAATAGGGATGATGACTGGGTTTATATATATATATATTTAGTGAGATAATAGAAAAATATTAGATATATACACTTATTTTGCTTCAAATTAACAAGAAATGGCTTAGATAACAGGCATGAAAGTTGTTGTAGACCGTTTCTTGATAATACATATTTGCTTACCTTCACGTGCATAAACTCGATTCCGAAGTCCGCTTCGGTGGTGACACCTCCAGTGAATATTTTCCTAGTGAATCTCGGTGCATTGTCATTAACATCATTCACTTTGACGTACACCTTAAGAGTGCTCACTGCGTCTACGTCTGCTTTATAGTTCGGAGTGGTGACGCAATCCTCGGTAGCGAGTATTGTTAAGTTGTAGAAAGCTTTCTGCTCTCTATCTAAAGGTAAGACTGTTGATAGTCTGAAATAATATATATTTTAAAAGTTCTTTTTCGACTTTTTAGATCGCCAACCACTAAAGGGAATTAATATTTTCAGAACAATAAATATTAGAGACCATCACATATATTGCTCAGATTCCAAGATGAGTAGCTAAAGCCCCCGTATTATGGAGTATCTTAGCCAACGAATGTACCACAATACCCAGACCCGAGAAAGTATAGTATAAAGTCCATTTTTTACATTGAACCGACTGGGAATCGAACCCGGGACGTCAGAGGTGGTGACACTTTAAAACCGGCCTGCGGCCTTTAAAATCACTCGGTTACGGAGTTTGTCAACGAAAATGTGATTTGGTACTGGATAGTTTTCCGTGCTAGGGTACGTAATTTATCTTTTTTTTTATTTGAGAGTCAGTGCATATCTGATGGAGGATGAGTAGTATCTCGTCACGGTCTCGTCGACCACGAAACGTTAGAACTGACAAATAAACTATGACATTAAACCATTTACCCTCGTAGGAAGATTAGTCACATAATAAATATTCCTTTATGACACTCTTGACAGATCTTCAGCCAGATTTGCACATGGATTAAAAACGATCAATCTGTCAAAACGACAAATCTGATATTGCATTGTATACTAGTTGCTTTTCCGCTACATATACCTACGTATATTATGGCTTATATCATAGGGGCCGTCACGTGATTAATGGACGGCCCCATACTGTAGTAATTTTTAAAATCGATTTATTAGTTTCGAGGCCTATTCAATGGTAAAAAACAACCAAATATATCCACTTTATAATATTAGTTTCAATGAAATGCAACTCTGTTAAATTATCTCAGCAAGTTTTGTTTATTTAATATATTTGTTAGAGGAATCCTTACTTATGCGTACTCCTTTGCAATTCAAATGCGTTACCATGGTTCCCCTCCACGATATAGTAGCAAACGGGTAATACTGGCTCGTCGCCTCTGTCTATTGCATCTCTTTCTATAACACTGGGTAAGTACACACCGAATTCGGGAGCATTTTCCGTCACATTCACATTGAAAGTCTTATACGGGAATCTCGGCCGATAACTGTCTACATTTTGAACGTAGATCGTCAGATCTAAGTCTGAACTAAGCGGCGTCGGTAATCCTAAATCGTAAGCTTCTATTCTCAGCTGTAAAGAAAAAATATCGATTTCTTACATAAAGTTTTATCACAATTTTATTCTAGAATTAATAATGACCAATGACAATTAATTAGCGACTTCTCTGTTTTGGGAAAAGTATATAATTTTTTTTTCCAAAAGTTTTATTATAGGGAAAATACGTCTTTATAAATTTTCGCGCGAAAACAATCAGTCACGTTACATTTCGAGTCGTGACGTCACATTTCAATAAACCTGCGCAATGAGTCCGCATTTCGGTTCTTGTAATCGATAGAATTTTATTTAAAAATAAAAGATTCTTGCAATTTATTTTAATACAAAAAATACTATATAGTTATTATTTACATATAAGTTACCATTTCCATTGTTGATAATTGTTTTTTTATTATCGTCATATACCTATACTATTTTGGTAATGATATGGTTGATATTGATGTAAATGTCATTACTTCTGATAAAAGGGTAGATTTCTATCGATCGTTCTTCTTGTCAGCTAAAAGACGTCCTGTACAGTGTGGATTTTTTGGAGAATTCAAAAGTGTGTTTAAAAATATATATGTTACTCAATAATTAGAATTCTAGGTAATCGAGAAGTAACGATACGAGTTCAAAATATGGTATTTTAAATTTAGTCTGGAAAAATAAAAACTGTAAGCTGTAGAATAACATTTTTTTATCTGTGTGAAATCACCGAACAGTCTAATAGCGGTGATAAGCGCAATCAAGGAGGTTAAACAACTTTTACAAAGGTCACCAAAAAATCATTATCTGCCTTCGTATCGGGTATTAAAAATAAATCAAAATTATTTCGCTACCAAGAACAATTTTTTACGTATACGTACAAACTTTGACTCTATTTTAGGGCATTACACCTGTACCAGAAAGAACCGCTCTTCCATAGCTAAATCTCTTAAACAATGGTTAAGCTATTCTACAGACAGGACGTGTGCTTATGTGCATGTAAAATGAAAACTAAAATGACTACACAAAGAAACACGTGCTGCTCTGCTATTAACTCTGCGGCCCGAGCCATGGCCCCTTTGGCCTTTGGGTAAAAATAGGGCTTCCAATCCCGCAGCCTCTATTCAATCTCGGTATTTGCGGAACTAGGGCTTCCAATCCCGCAGCCTCTATTCAATCTTGGTATTTGCGGAACTAGGAATTTTCAATCCCGCGAGATCCTCTATTCGCCGACTAATAGACTAATAATTATTTGGTATGGTCATTTTGTTTATTAATATATTCCGTCAGTTACAAAGCCACTGTGCACGCGAGAGGTCTCATATCTTTCCAGCTCCGCAAATCCTGCGGATCCAGTGCTCAAAAATCCTGCGAAACGGGACTGGAAAAGATGCGGGCTCGCATACTAAGATCTTGGTATTCCGAGATTGGAAGCTCTAGATAAAAACCTAACAAGACAAAAAGGTATTACACATTCAATGTTCCGAAAGCAAGTGGCCACTTAAGTGTTAATTGTTACACGTCTACTTTACAGGGCCGGTTTTTAAATTTCTATAAAATTGCATCATAAAATAAAATCCCAAAAATAATTAATGTCCAAATTCACTATGAGTCATGTAGGTTTTAAAAATAACGTTAAAACCACAACAAGGGACCTAGTAAATACAACGCAGAGTTGGTTAAATTTTTTGACCAATAGTTGGAATTATGACAATTGGTTAGGCTAACTATTAATAAAAAAAAACATATTTTTCTGATATATAACAATTTGTCGTAGATTTAAACAAATGGTTGAGTTAACCACTGGTTAGGAAACCGGCCCTAAAATTCTATAGCTAGCCATATGTCAAATATTCATAGATTATGTCATATATCAAGATGTTAATGATATTCGATATAGTCTGTAATAGGGGTGTAGACAACTTTTTTTTTAATATTTTTGTTATATAGATATAAAATCTGTGCCGAAAAAGATCCATTCCACACCAGTTGTCATACCTGATACGTAGTTTGTTTGTCTCTGTCAAACGGCAGAACAGTTTTCAAAACACCAGTAGTAGCGTGTACTGAGAATGCTCTCCACGCTCCGCCCGCGTCTTGCCTCACCCTGTATCTGACGGCACCGTTTGGACCAATATCTGCGTCGATAGCCTTCACTTCTACCACTTGAGTGCCTATCGTTGCGTTCTGTAGCAATGAGGAAGTATTAAAAAAAAACATTAGTTCCCGAAATCAAACTAGATGTCGCTACGGTACGTTTTTGATTTCTCCATGACAACCTTCCCGGTTTTCTTTTATGTTTAAAAGTAAATTAGTTTTCAAAACTCAATTAAAACTCATATTCTATTTGTATTTTTTGGTATTTGTATTGATATCTAAGTTTCAAACTTTTCAAATTTCAGTTTATTAATATGTTAAGTTAATAGGAACGGAAATGACTGTCTTTGGTCCATTCGTTTCCTCCAAAAATGAACTTTTGCAAGAGTCGCCATCTAGTCGAGGTGCTTTTATAGTGCTTTCGTCTTCATTAGTAATATAATTAGCATTCGCAGTTATAAATAATTGCTAAATGTCCACTAGCAACCATCAAATTATTTGTGGCTGCCAAAATAAAATATTGCGAATTAAAATAGACTCGCACGTTTGTTAGATATCACGCGGAAATACCTACAGGTCAAGTCAATTCTGCGATTATATGCGACTTGCGATTATTAAGACATGCGATTATTGCCTGTTCTTTACTGAACCGAACCAATTTATTTGTTTATCAAATTGCCTTGCTAAGCTGTTAACTGAACCGGTTAATTGAACCGGTGTCAATGTGAATCCTATCCTATTAATATTATAAATGTGAAAGTTTCTTTGTTTGGATGTTTAGATGTTTGTACGTCAATCACGCCGAAACTTCTGAACGGATTTCGATGAAATTTGGTATACAGATAGGGTGTTAGCTGACTTAGATAATAGGATACTTTTTATCCCACTAAACATTTCCCTAGGGTCCACGCGGGCGAAGCCGCTGGCGAAAGCTAGTGATCCATAAGTCAAAGTAAAGCAACTTTCGCAGAGGTAGAGACATTGGATGGGTTGACTAAAATTTATTATCTCACGCTCTTCTATACTTCAGAACGCACGTTCAGCTGCTGGTTGACTATGCATCTGCAGTCGTTAAAACTTCCCGTATGATTCCATTAATTGGGAAAGCAATGTACGTTACATTAATAGGATAATGATGATAAACTTTAAAAAAAATCATTGGATACCTTCCCTACAAGTAGAGACGATCATTTTTTTTAAAAAAAGTTCCTTTCTTAAAAAAATGTAATTGTGATTAATGTTTCGATTTAATCTATACAAGGAAAGATTTGATTGTTTGTTTGTTTGCAACGAATAGGCTCCTAAACTACTGCACCGATTTTAAAAATTCTTTCACCTACGGGAAGCTACATCATACGCGGTTAACATAGGCAACATATTATTTTGAAAAAAAAAGCAATTAAAGGTATAAAAGTGGGAGTAAAAGTTTATATAGGGAATTAAAACGTAATCATTGTTTACTATTGAATTTGTCATTGTAATTATTATATCCGTTTCATGATATGAATCGATATCCGAATAAACAGTTCACTAGCCGCTCTGGTGTAAAGCAAGTCGTTTATATTTTCAAGTTTTATTAAAAAAAATAGTAAAAATTTGGAATTCATAAACTATTAAGAAACATACATATTATCATAAAGAATCGTCAATACAAAATTGCTCAAGCATAACACATAATATGATTTCAATACCTCTGGTACTTTGATGGTGACATTTTGTGGTGGCTGAACGAATATAGGCGCATGGTCGTTATAATCAGTGACGCAGAGTCTCAATTCGCCGCGCGCTATGTTGGCGGGCGTTCCCAAGTCCCTCGCTTCCACGATCAGCGTATAGTTACCGAAGCGATCTTTTAGAGATTGCTTCGCAAACAACCGTCCAGTGTTAGCATCACCGCCCACTTGCTCGAAGCGAAACAGTTCTGTCAAAGACAATTATTTACATTACCATCTTAAGCTATGAGTGTACCGATTGTATGATTGTGAAATCTATCTTGTAATTGGGGCAAAAACTGAAAATCAGTGCTTTGCTCTTTGAGTAAATACACACTGAGTTTTCGCCCATTTGCATCGCTGCGGTACACATAATGTTTGATTGTCCTGTTTTAGTTTCTAATATTGTGTAAAATTCAAATTGTAAAATTTTGTGTATGCATGATGCTAATAAAGAATTTATCTATCTATCTATTTAAATCCCTTTCAAAGGTAGCGATTTATGGAACTAGATAAGTCGTTATAGCTTCTGGAACGAATGAAGATATGAATGATCAAGAAACATAATAAAAACTTATTTATTTATTTAACACTTTATTGCACAAAAAAAAAAAGTAAAAATAAATACATTGCAAGGAACAAAAGAAAAAAATTATTACATTTGTGCAATGGGCGGCCTTATCGCTGAACAGCGATTTTTTCCAGGCAACCTTTTGATTGATACTGGTGGCAGGTAATTGTGGGTCGTGCACAAAGTTAGGGAAAACATCTACTAAATATATAAAATGAAAAAAAAAAAAACAAATAATAATATATATATACATATACACAAATACATAAAAATAATAAAATAGATATACATGGGTAAAATACGCAGTAGCCAACATGAGCAGCAGATACCGCAAGCTACAAGAAGGAAGGATAGAGGATTAAGATTTTAAGAATAATGTCCACCAGACAGAAAACGCGCAAAAACTCTAGATTTAAATGAGTAGAGCGATTGTGAACGTCTGATATCTTCGGGCAAAGAATTCCACAATCGAGTCGCGTGTAACGTAAATGATTGGCTGTAGAATTTTGATCGGTTTTGAGGAACCGAGAGGCGAAGACTGTCTGATGAACGAAGAGGTAGGTCATGAGTGGACGATAAAAACTTGAACCGTTGTTTAAGATAAAAGGGGCATTTTGGATTGAACAACACAGAGTAGAGAAGGGACAGGATATGTAAATCTCTACGTTGCCGAATAGAGAGCCATTGGAGTTGTTGGCGAAATTCGGAGACATGATCGTATTTACGGAGCCCGAAAATAAATGGGATGGCAAGGTTTTGGAGGCGCTCCAGTTTACCAAAAAGATCAAAAGTAAGGTCAGGATAGCACGCATCGGCGTAATCAAGGACAGGCAAAAGAAGGGATTGCGCTATGGATATTTTGGTAGCAGTGGGTAAAAAGTTCCGTAAACGCCTAAGGGATCCGACTGTAGCAAACATCTTTCTGCTGACTTCGGCAATCTGTGGACGCCATGAGAGCGTTTGGTCAAATAAATCTCATGAGCTTTCAATGATACTTGCGTCTAATTATGGCTTAGACAATTTCAATTGACATTAAATTAACGATATTATTTATTTAATGACTTTCAAAAAAGTGTCGCTATTACATATCAAATAGTTGTAGCGTGAACTTCGTGAATATCTTTCTAATACCAAATTGATAGGTATTGCATTTCAAAGGATTAAAATTAGGCAATAAGGCCCTGATTGGTTAGTTGATAATTGTAATGTCATATAAACAAAGGCAAAGGGACAGCCTGGTCTTTTAGTAAGTGGAACTTTTTATAATGGTCTGTGTTTTCATTGTTGCCCTCAATATAATACCAGTACAGTGGGTTATGTTCACTGCTTATACAGTCTGTAATAGAGGTGTAGACAACTTTTTTATATTTTTATTTTATACATGAAATATATCAAACAAAAAATAAAAAAGTATCATTCATATAATAAGTTAAAATCTACAAATATGTGTAATTTTTAAAATTGCCCACGAAAACGCCACTTTTGTCATGGCATCGTATGACACGTCACGGCCCTCTGACATTAATATCGTTCTATGTATGCATAAAGATGAATTCTTTGGGATCTGATATGAGTAAGAAGGGCGTGACATCACGCGCTTTTTGCGGTCACGTGACAACGAGTATAAAATATCTTTTGCATCATCATTAATTTGTGCATTATTATAAATATAAATATATTAGTATATTAAAAACCACCAGAAAAAAATTATTTGTATTTATTTTCGTTTACTATCTACACCCGTATTAAAGTTTCGTTAAACGTATAGTTAAATATTACACTCACCATGTCTTTTACCCGCCACCAAGTGGAATTGCACTCGTCCGTTAGGCGACGCATTGTCGTCCGCATCCGTCGCGGATACGGACAGTATCGGTTCACGGTGATTATGGAACTCGGTTATTGTGGTACATTCTTCTGGCAGCTGAAGTACCGGCGGGTTGTCGTTCACATCATCCACATGTACACTGTGAATTGATATTTAATATTGGGATGGCTCTTTATACTAATTTATCGACGTATATCTTTAGTATATAGGGTAGTAAACTGATTAATGAAAGAACAGGCTAATATATATACATATATAACTCAAAGGTGACTGACTGACATAGTGATCTATCAACGCACAGCCCAAACCACTGGATGGATCGGGCTGAAATTTGGCATGCAGGTAGGTGTTATAACGTAGGCATCCGCTAAGAAAGGATTTTGATCAATTCAACCCCCAAGGGGATAAAATACGGGATGAAAGTTTGTATGAAACTTTATCAATTTTAAACCGATCGGGCTGAGACTTTGTATGCAAAAAGCTACTATGATGTAGGCATCCCCTAAGAAAGGATTTTGATAAATTCCACCCCTAAGGGGATAAAATAGAGGATAAACTTTTTTCAGGTATTTAACACGATATAATGAATAATTATTCGTTACAAATGCTGCTCAAAGTAACTTTACCACGCGGACGAAGTCACGGGCAAAAGCTAGATTTTTGTATATTTGTCTATAACATTTTGTGATATTTACATAAATAATAATAATAAGCAGAAAAATAAGTATGGCATACAATACATAAATGTCGGCAAATCAGAATAAATAAATGTATAACATTGAAATTGATTGATGATAAATTAATTTGACAATGAAAACCTACAAATAAATATATATAATTGTAAACAGAGCTTTATTATTTAATAAATAAAAGAATTATTTATATGATAAAAAATATTTTACAGATTTCAGACTAAAACTAAGTGATAAAAAGGATATTATAATTTCTGTTAGTGGATTTCATGCCTAAATGCTAATAAAACGACATTTAATCTGAGAAAAATAATCCATCCGATTTGTAATACCATACTTCTTATTGATAAAAAAAATAAACAAAAAACTTCTTATTAAAACAGTTAAAGTTTACAGAACGATATTATTCAGGAACATCGGACTTATTGGTGAAAGAATGTAACAAAAAATATAATAAAATAGTAAACCTATTTCATAGCTATTTAACTTACACGATTTGCTTGAAAGCGTTCCGACTCTCTCCACTGAGATATCCAAACTGGTAGTTATCCCAAGCTTCTACGACGAGATTGTAGGCAGGTTGGGTTTCGCGATCCAACCATTCTGATACGGTCAGAGCCCCAGTTTCGGGGTTGATTAAGAATTTACCCTGGTACACAAATAAATTGGTACAGTAAAGTTGAAGTTATTGCAATCCAGGCTTCATAAGTATAAGATACATTTAAAGATTAAAGCCGCAAGTATTTAAATATAATAGGAGATCGGACAGCAATAGACAAAAAAAAATGTATATGGTTCACAAAGTTTAAAGTATATTTAAAGTGAAAAATAGATTTACAGGCTACAACGGCCACTTCACTGTCTTATTTATTTATTTATATGCAGTTTATTTTTTATAAGGGCTAATTGAAGTGAAATAAACGTACTCAATTTTGATAAATACGTTACAATTTTCCATTTCCAGATGATTATTAAATTTTTGCTAGAGATTTTGACATCTAACCTTATATATTAGGGTTTAAAATACAGTGGGGAAATTTGATAGTTTTATATAGTCTGATATGCAGTTGACTGTATACCATGGTTCAGTAGTTCGAATTATTGATTATTCGTAAACTTTTCATCTTTTATTTTGGGATAACTAGTTATTTTTCAATGCCTTAATATCTATCAAGAACTGCGAGTTTTGAACAATAAATAAATAGGGAATACCACGTAAAGCTTGGCGTAGATGGCAGCACCATCAAATGAAGTAAAATAAACTTCTTCGAACATTTTGTCTTTTGGATATAAATAATTCCCTTCCTTCTTACATCCAAATATGCAGCATCATATATTATTGGATAAAATTAGACTGTATATAATTATACCTAAATTCAATTTCTAGTATAATCACTACTACTTTACTCTTTGTTCACTACTCTATGAATTACGTTTGACGTTATAACCTGGTGACAGAAAGCCTCAATAATACGTCACATAACAGTCAACCTATTTCTAACTAATCTTATGTTGAACATCTATAAATACACACCTGCGTAGACATTCTATCCAGGAGGTAGGTTATCTTGCCATACTCGCCAGAGTCCGCGTCTTTAGCCACCACGTTAGTGATCGTAGTACCCGGCTCTACAGATTCCAACACGTGGTATTCAAATGCTGACGACTCGAATACCGGATTGTTGTCATTCTCATCTAACACCTAACATCGAAGTCATAATAATATTAATATATATTAGATGGAACGTTGATCCCCATAGGCGATGTAAATATTACTTAAGTTTTAATAGGAAAACGATATAGAGGAGTTATTAAGCATTACAATTCTGACCACAAAGGGTTTAGCCGGATACGTATGACGAGTCGGCCCCCAAATGGGAATCGATATTGAAACTTATGTTTTAATATCGACTTGATGTTCAAACACGATTTATGTACTTTTCGCGACCGACTTCCGCTTTGACCTTGAGATAGAGAGCAAAATATCCGTATGCTTGACTATTACTGAATGTGATATATCTCTGAAGCTAATTAAGATAAAGAAGTGAAACTAACGCGAGGTGTTAGGTTACATTACAGAGTATATCACATATATTTTTTTATAATTTTTAGAATAAAAAATTACATTAAAAAAATTAAAATAAAAAAAAAACATGTTTTTTTTTCTGAGTTCTCTGTGACTTACAATCACGAAATTAATATATGTTATGCTCCTTTGTGTGCTCTATCACCCATAAAAATTGCGTGAAAAAAAGTTGGTGCAACACAACGAAAAAAAATTATATGTGATTCGCGCCTTGTAGTGTGAGTGTATAAACAAACAAGTTCGAACTTGTTATCGAGCTGTTTACTGCATCGTTTGTTTAGCTAAAGTAGCAGTCATTTGTATTACACAAGAAGGCAGTTTGGGACTCAAATTCTGTCATAGGTATTTTGTATCAGCATTTTGAAATTATTAACTATCGAACCAAATCATTATTAAGTAATAATGTCGAGAAAGTGTAAAAATTGTAACAAGTACCTGTGTAAGATTCCTGGTTATAAAAAAAAATTATAAAGAATGAAGAAGAAGCTAAAGTGTTTAGTGACTGTTTGAATAAAATCGTAATAGTTAATGATATTTTTTGTAAGAAGTGTCGACTTATCCCATATATTTACAAAAAAGCTTCTACTTCTAAATGTGCAGTTCTAAATGTTAAATGTTCTAAAAGTTAAATACTTGGCCGAAATAATGGACGATCAAAATGATCTCTCAGTACAATATGTGAAATCGGCACCTAATATCATCAAAGCAGAAGTAAAATCAAGACATATAAATAGAAAAGTCTATCGAATTTACATTCTCTATATTTCCGAAGGTAATGACTACAATAGTATTCTTCGTTATTGCTGTGATTGCCCCAATGGCAAACGTACAGTGGGATGCTGTTCTCATGTAGCAGCTATTATTTATTGGATATGGATGATATTTGTCCAAAATCGTACGTCCTGCTTAGGTCCTAACTAAGTTATTTGCGACTCAAAGTGTTCCGATTGTAATTAATTACAACAGTGACGATGATTAATATTTTGTTTCTTGTATTTTGATAGACACGAAAAAGTAATAATAATAAGTATTGAACACTGGCTGTTTTTTTTTTCATTTCTTTTTTAACTATAATCCCATCTCTTAAGACTAGTTACTTATGTTTTAAAACAAGCTGATGTGAAATTTCGAAAAAAAAAACAATGATGTAATGTGAAAACCTTATAATACAGGGGTATACCATAAGACTGAAATCACATATAATTTTTTTTCGTTGTGTTGCACCAACTTTTTTTTCACGCAATTTTTATGGGTAATAGAGCACACAAAGGAGCATAACATATAGTAATTTCGTGATTGTAAGTCACAAAAAAAATTAAAAAAAAAACATGATTTTTTTATTTTTTATTTTTTTAATGTAATTTTTTATTCTAAAAATTATAAAAAATATATGTGATATACTCTGAAATGTAACCTAACACCTCGCGTTAGTTTCACTTCTTTATCTTAATTAGCTTTAGAGATATATCACATTCAGTAATAGTCAAGCATACGGATATTTTGCTCTCTATCTCAAGGTCAAAGCGGAAGTCGGTCGCGAAAAGTACATAAATCGTGTTTGAACATCAAGTCGATATTAAAACATAAGTTTCAATATCGATTCCCATTTGGGGGCCGACTCGTCATACGTATCCGGCTAAACCCTTTGTTTGAAATGGGAGAGATTGCATTATATCAATCAAAATTAAAGCATCAAACAGTAGTAACACTGACAAATACAATACGCTACAAGTATATTACCTGTATAAACAAGTCGGCGACAGAGTACCTGGGCGGAACCCCACTATCTACAGCCTTCACAGTGAGATTGATCCAAGGGTACAATTCATGGTCTATCTTGTTGGCTACTACGATTTCTCCGGAACTTTTTTCTAAATGCACCATACTTAGTAATTGTTCTGGACCTTGGGACATATAAACATATGTTAAAAAGTATAATTCAGAGAAATTTTAACAATCCGTATGTCATAAAAATATTTAACTTTAACATCACTAGTACTTTACGTCATTGTTTTAAGATTAACTTTACATTGAATATGTAGGTATAATATGGATATTCATATGATCCTGGTATTTAAATACAAATTATTAATATATAGTATTGAAATTTTGTCGCTTACTTTCTTATTGTTAAAAAAATTCCACATACTACGTTTTTATTTACTTAAGGTCTAATTTAAAACTTCTGATTCTGAAGGCATATCTATATTAATATCATTTCATTAATATTATAAATTCGAGTTTCTTGTTTGAAATAATATATTTATAACAAAGTTCGTTTACCTTCAAGATAATAAGCCATTGTGCGATTCTTGTCCGCGTCGTCGGCTATAACGGTACCAATATAAGCTGCGTTCTTCGAATTCTCTGGTATAGAGGTGCGGTAATAGGGTTTCCGGAATCTTGGATTATTATCATTCTCATCTTCTACAACTATAGTTAGTGTAGCCGAAGCAGTTTGCCTGGGACCACCGTCTATGGCTGCCATATCTTCTACTGTTATAACCAGTTTCAATACTTCCAGTTTTTCTCTATCAAGCAATCTGAAATGCGTTGTTGTGTACTAGAGTAGGGCTGAGTATTCATGTTATACGACTTTTGGTATACTAAGCCAAATTTTGAATAACTCTGTTCAATGCAGTATTTTTTATATTGCCATATAGCTAATAGCCATAAAGCATTAAAATGACAGGTGCTATGCCTCAGATTAATAAATCTGAACTGACGAACTCAGTCGAGTACTCGGGTTGTCTCGGTATATCATTATAGTATATACGTGGGTAATAATTATTAGTTTAATACAAGACTTTATTTGGATTTAAATATGGTTATGCCAAAAGTAACTTTTTACTCAAATGTACGCCAATACACAAAGCCAATTTTCTGCAATCGATATACTCTGACTTCAATGTATTAAGGTTTATAATCAGTATCTTTTTTCAGAAAGTTCACTTTGTTTCAGAAAACAATTTTTTATAACCTAATGTGTTGTAAAAAACATAATACTTAATACGAATAGCGCAGCGTTTACAGATGGTACGCAGGTAGTACATTAGGGCGATAACAATTTTCTATCTAAATACATATTTTGAACTTTACCTTTAATAGATTTACGTTAAAAGTCATTCGGAAAAATATTTTGCGAGAACTTGATTGATAAGAGAAGGGTTAGCTATAAAATTATCGGCCTTTTTTTTTGAGAAATATAGATTACTCTCTGTCAATAGCATATATTTACTGCAAAAGACAATTTTACTCCAATCGATTTTAAATACTTATGTCACAGTGTATATAAGTAGACAGTGGTGAAACTGCCTACAAGCGTTCGAAATCGCACGCACACATAAACACGCTCACCGACGAGCCGCCTAAGTGGACCTAACAGGACGCTCAGTAACGCGTATCGCGTCGAGACGAAGGGTGACGTTACACGTACCGCGATGGTTTTTATTTGAAAAATGAAGGAAAGATTAAGGAAAGGAGTAGGCTTATGTGAAATAAAAAATAAGTTTTTGTTTTAGATTTAGATGTTTTTTTTTAAATACCCGTTTCAGTATCATGCATATTTTCGGGTTGAAACATAGTACGGTCCCACCCGAAAATGCTTGATAAACACCCAAAAAGCCGCTCATGAGCGCGCCACCTAAATGCAGTGCCTACCTACCATGCCTCCGATCCGAAGAGAGCACAAAACGTTGGAACTTTCTTTTTTTTTTTTTTGTTTCGTGCGCTCTTCAGCTATGTGTCCGTCAAAACTTGTACAAGGTTATGCCAAAGAAAGATTTACAAGTTGTGTCAATATTGAACTATATCTCGTATGATAAACTATCGGCTTTTGCTGAGATTAACTGATTTTTAACCGACTTCAAGAAATGAAGGTTATCAATTCGATCTTTACGTATGCTATATTTCCAGATCTGCCCAGTTTTCGCATATGTTATTCTATACCTTGTGGTGATTTAGAATAATATTAGTACATATCACCGTCTGAACAAATGTGTATGTATATTTTTTTTTGTTTGTTAATTAGTTATTACAATTCGATTGACTAATAATGTGAGAACTCCTTTTATATTTTGTAAAAGAAACAATGTCTAAAACATTCAAAATGGCAACCCTATGGTTTCAATGGAGCGTATGTATTTATTTTATCAAATAGGCTTAGTTTCTATACTGTGTCATACTTATACTGTGCTTATGTGTTGACAAGAAAGTTGAAAATTGAACTTTGTGCACAATGATATACAACTTAAGTAGGTCATTGATGTACCCTCGCAAAAGGCTAAAAGACTGCTAATTTCGGCCAAATAGAATAATCCAAGTATTCTAAACGCGACATGACCCTTACAGAATGTGAGTGAGACGGATATTTAATGCGTTGTATTTTACACATTATCGGCCAGTTGCACAAACGTCCATTAAAATTGTAACCAGTTTAAATCGACATTACACATACAAATTTGACATTTATTAGAGCTTAAATATGCCATTAAACCCTAATGGACGTTTGTGCAACTGACCGTATAACTATTGAAACAAAACCCAAAGTAGATTTTAAGTATACGTCCGGTGATCGTGTAATTGGTGGATCCGAGGGCTTAACTATGTTCAAGAACGCAAATTTGGAAAATTTCGTATAGCTCTTATAATTGGTAAAATTACATTCGAGGAGTTTATCTGTATGGACTAGAAATTTCGTTTCCGGAGAAATAAGAGTGAAACGAAGAATCATGCGTCATATTAGAACCTGCTGTACTATTAACTTACCTTACGATCTTCAATGTACCGTCCACTGAATTCAGATCCCAAAGAGAGAGATAGTCGTATTCTGCCGGTGGTATTAACACTCCGTCCTCGTCTCTCGCTAGACTGTTTGTTCTATCTAACGTGTACCTTAGAACGGGTTGTTCATCTGGATCGTATGCTTGGGCACGATATATTAGCGTACCAACCTAGGTACAACAGATAATTATAAGATAGAACTGTTTCAATAACTGTTAAACTAAGATTATTAGCGACTTTCAACTCTGCGGTTGACACTATAAGGTTTAACAATTTTTGAAAATACGCCGTGTAGGGTATAGGGGAGAAATAATCAGTGATGATTGTAAGATTTATTGCGTTTGTAATTTGTAAATATATATTTATTTGCGGGTGATGCAGATTATATTATGCAAGTCCTAATTGGTGTAGAATTTTTTTAATATTGTATTGCTATGTTTATTCAAATAGACTTTCATATAGAGGGGGAGGGTACGAAGGACCAGATATGAAGTGGGTACGTAAAAGTGCTAATGATGATTGAAGTATCAACCTTTATAAAATTTGTATATTTTTGTCATTATCTTTCAGTCGATAACAGTTATTTTCGTTGAAGTATCAACCTTTATAAAATTTGTATATTTTTGTCATTTTCTTTCAGTCGATAACAGTTATTTTCACTTAAAATAACTCGGCTGTTGCGAAGTTGAGCCTACTTTGGCAAGTAAGACTAAGTAGTATTTTTATTATAGAATGCAATGAAGGTAAATAAATAAATAAATATATTATAAATAAATATAAGACAACATCACATACATTGCTCAGATTCCAAGATGAGTAGCTAAAGCTCCTGTATTATGGAATATCTGAGACAACAAAGGTATTACAACATTCAGAGTCGAGACAATATAGAAAAGTCCATTTTCTCCATTGACCTGACCAGGAATAGAACCCGTGACCTCAGAGATGGCGACTCCTTGAAACCGGCCTGCGAACCAATCAGCAACGTTATCGTTATCGTCATATTAAAAATCACCTCTGTATTCTCTCTGACTGCGATAGTGCCTGGTTCGTGCAACAACGGTGGCTTGTTGTTGACATCTACTATGGTGATGTTGACGAGTACCGCAGCAGACAGCTGATGTTCACCGATACCGCCATCTAGCGCCACCTGATAGTAAACACATGTTCATTTCCAACGAGTTCTGATTTACCGTGTAAGTACTGATTGAGTGAGCATCGACGTTAGACAATCATGTTCATGTTAGGAGTCACATTCTACCCTTTTTTATTTTTTATATATGTTTCTAATATTTTAAGTGAAATATGTATTATTAAATCTATATACATCTATATATATATTTGAGTGTCTGTGTTTAATTTTAAAATAACCGCTTTTTACTAAATGCGTATACATGGTGCATATACCAAAATATTTTTTTTTACATTTTTTGTTTGTTTGTCAGTCTGTTTGTTCTGGCTAATCTTTGAAACCGTTGGACCGATTTCAAGGGGATTTTCACTGGCATATGTAGTATGTAACATACATTTTCTGGGGGCATGTAATGGTATGAAAATATTTAAATAACAAATTTAACAGTGGGTCACATCAAATGCTGACATTTAATAATTATACTTTAGGTGTAATTGTGTTAAGTATATATGTGCGAGTATTAGTATAATGTTGATGACTATTATAAATGCGGAAAATATATTGTCATTGTCTCTTTTAATAAACCAACGTTAACCTAAAAATGTGTTTGGATTTCACCTACAATTAAAGAACAAGATATCTCAAGTAATTTGGTTACTTTCCAGGCGGAGAAGTCACGGGCACAGCAAGTATATTTATATATAATAGCGAAAGGTTATATGCTAGTTAGTAGGCTATATGCTAGCTTCAAATTTTACATCTGGGTTCTTTTTAGAACGTAGGTGCTCATTGAGATGGTGCGAAATTGGACCCTACGGATGTTTTGGAGTAGGTAGTTTGTATGAAATAAAAAAGCACAGATACACATCTAACTGATTATCGATTATGATTTTTAAACTTACCACAGTGAGGGTGTAACGATTACTTTTCGGGTTGGTCTTGTCCGGGTCGAGGGAAGATCCATTCGCAACAGAAACCACTCCTGTACGACTATCGATAACGAATTTATCGCTCGCTCCGCGTTGGATTCGATATACTACTCGATTGTTGGGCGATGAACCATCAGCGTCGCGAGCTTTCACCTAAATTGTATTACTTTATTAAGATTTCAGGGTACAAAATACTCGTATAATGTCTGCCCGTTTCCACTAAGCTTAGGAGTCGCCTGAATCTGGGGCCTAAATATTTAGGTATCGTCTAAAGTGAAAATACGTTTTATCAATGACTTAGAACCACCTAAACTTTATTAAGAAACATTTAAAGTTAGGACATGCGTAATGCGGCGCCTTGCGTTATGCATTACCGTAATGTAACATATACATTTACTCTTTCGCCGTAACAGATATGTCAAGGGATAAAATCAATTAACTTTGTTGGAATCATAGATCAATTATTGGAATAAAGGAATTCATATATTAGAATGTTTTGTTTGTTTGGATCTTTTGATATAATAGACTCCAATGACGATTTGGATGCTCGTTTGAATACAAGACCATGTATAATTTAAAATTATATATTTTTGTTATTATTATCCTTATGTAACATTTGCGGAATTATGTAAACGCAAATATGCTTTGAATTACTAAGGAGAACGCAAAATCATAGACAAATGTTGCCTATCTAAGCCAGTGCTTAGTAAGGTATTACTTCACGTTACAGGTTAGCTGAAACGACATAGCTGCTGCTATTTTTAATATTAGGCGAATTCTAGTTAAGTCATGCCTTGTTCTAGGTACGTGAAAACGGGCATTAGTGATATTTCTGTATATTTTCTAATCAATTTTTAAATTATATTTTGTTATATTTTTTACAGTAATAGTAAATTTTATAAGTATTATAAACGTTCTACTAGTATCGTAATTTAGATGTCACGTAAAAAAAGATAAATCGCCGTCGAAGATACAACCTCCTCTTCGATTTTAAAGTCGATTAAAAATTGCTGCACTAGTAATTGTTATTTTAAAACCTACCTCTAGAACACTGGTTCCTCCAGGCATATCTTCAGGTATGGATCTTTTATAGATCATTTGTTGAAACATTGGCGCGTGGTCGTTCACATCCTGTACATATATCGTTACTGGCACTGTTGACGATAACGGCGGCACACCAAAATCACGAACTCTTACCTGTTATAATAGACATTGTTTTACATTTATATAGGGTAAAGAGTTTTTAAAACACCAGAGGGGAGACCGCCTAGTTCTCTAGCAGCGCAGGGGTTATACTATTTTTTCCAGAACCCTATTATGTTAAATGTACTTATAAATATTATCTACGAATGTTTTAACTGTCTGATTGAATGTGTAGCCCTTGATCCTTCTTTGGAGCCATAGGGTTCCATGGACCACCATTTGGGAATCTCAAATGAGAGTTGTTAATACCCAACAATCGGGCGACCGGTTGGTTATGGCTCGTTCTTCTATTTGATTATATTTATATGGCAAATCTAAGCCAAGTAGTGGGATCATTAATAGGATGATGATGATATCAAATAATATAAATTATGTAACTTGTGGAATTTTTTAATTAGCTTTTTATAAACTTTCGATATTTATTAATGATTTTTATGTGTGAAAATTTCTATAATCATTTGCACCGATGAGAATATGGGATGACTGGTAATTATAATATAATAAATAGATATTTTATTAAATAAATAGATATTTTATTCACTGAAATTGCGCAAGATTTTGTAAAAAATATCTTGATATTCTGGAAAATAATACGAGGAAAAAGAGGAAATATTTTTTTAATATAATTTAATAGTAATAAAATAACTCAAAAATTAATTTAGCAGAATAAGTATTTGTAGGTATTTACCGTTAAATGTATAGGTCTAATGTTTCCATTGTCGCCTGGTATTTGTTCAAAATCTAGTCCATCAATAGGTGTGACTATACCCAAATTGGGGTCTATAGAGAAATTGTTTTTGTAATCGCCACCTACTATTGAATATTCTATGTGACTGTTTTTGGTACCTGCCAAAGATACATAATTAGAATCTATACATGTATGTATTCACGCTTTTATCTCATTGAGCAGAGGTTTAAATTTCACGCAAATTTTAGATAATATAAATGAACTTTATCACTTCTCGCATCAGAGAACAATAGGTTATCATCCTATAAACTACAGAACGGTAACATGTAAAAAAGAGACAGATATATTTTCAATCAATCAAACATGTTACCCTGTATAAGAAACTTTTACTTATTTTACGGAAAAATCCGACGAACATTAACATTGTCTTTCGCTTTAAAATCAGCATGGAATACTATAAGTTAGGTTAGTAGAAATGTCCACTTCTGGAAACGGATTGGTACTTTACCACTAATACATTTAGGTTTATAATTAAATGGAGAATTTTGACAGTTTTGTATAACCTGATGAGCTGTTGAACAATACAGAGCTATGTCTAAAAATATCAATTAAGTCTCAATTTCTGTGAAGCAAGAAGAGTAATAATGAAATCCATACAAAATGTTTGTACTTTTTACAGCCAGATGCACAAACGTCCATTAAAATTTTCATTAGTTTAAAGCGACATTACCCATACACATTTAACATTCATTACATCTTAAACGTTTGTGCAACTGACCATATGACTGTCATTTCGAACGAAGTTTAATTTCAATTTTAAAAAATACTCACCATTTAAATCAATATCTCTGGCTTCTAGCACAAGAGGATTTTCGAATTGCCTCTCGTTTTCCAGTAACCGAGCCTCGTACTTATTCGCCAAGAACATAGGAGCGTTATCGTTTACGTCTTCAATATTGATGATGAGCTGAGCTGTGTTCCTGTTGCCTTTGCCAAGGTCATCTCTAGCCTCTACAGTTAGGTAGTGACGTGACACCAACTCACGATCAAAGTTATCACCACCTGATTGCTTCACAGTTATAACACCCGATATCGGGTTAAGATGTAATCTAAAAAATAAAATTTGTTGTGAACTGGTATTTAATGATTGGTTGAATGTTTAATTAATTATTTAAAGTCATCATCATCATCAGCCCTTTTACGTCCCCACTGCAGGGGCTCAGGCCTTCCTTATGGATGGTTAAGGAGGATGGGCCATGACCCTCCACGCTGGCCCAATGCGGATTGGAGGGTATTAACGACTGCAAATGCAGCCGGGACCAACGGCTTAACGTGCCTTCCGAAGCACGGAGTAGCTCGAGATAATAATTTTTTGGTCACCCATCCCGTGACCGACCCTTGCGAAAGTTGCTTAACGACTACGATCACGGGCCGCGGCGCTAATCCACTACGCCACCGAGCTACTCACTACGCCACCGAGCTACTCCGCTCAGCTCAGCTATTATTTAAAGTATCTAAATATATTGTGACATTAAGGATATTCACAATAATCCAATAACATATTATCATAAAGAGCTCGGTGTGGTGACGGCGTGCGGTCTGCAATGCTAAAGTTAAGAAACATTTGCAAGGACCGCTCATAGGATGGGTGACCAAAAATTTATTATCTCGAGTTTCTCCATGATTGTATGTTGCACAATGCGCGTTGAGCCATTTGTCCAAGCAGCATGTAAACATTATAATCTATAAACCGTTATTGGGTCCGACTGGCGGGTTAAAGTGGGTTTTTCTAATTTGATTCTATCCACAGGCAAGGTTTTGGCAAAGTATTAATAAGCTGATAATGATGGTATTGTTATCAAATTGATTATACTAACAAGTTTGCAATACTTCCGCCCAGGTTGGTATATCTAATACCTCTAGTACCATAGTTGTCAGAGTCTTGATCGAGGGCTTGCACCCAAGCGACAGTGGTACCGACGCCACAGTTTTCCGGTACAGAAACCATGTACAGAGATTCCGTGAACTCGGGAAAATTATCATTCTCATCTTTGATATGAACCATTATAGGTACAACACTGAAATATATAATAACTATTTATATTATTTTAACATTTACTGACGGATATAAATTATGTACACACTTTTGACAGATTAATTACCTTATTGCAGACAGAATAAGGCATACGGTATGTAAAACAGAATAATCTGATGTGACTGTAGAAATTGAAACTCAAAACATTGCACAACTTAACATTTAACAGTTGTTTAATAGCCATTAAAATTGAATTATTTTAATACTTGATTATAGGAATAACTTAGTATTATTAATTTAGTTTTCTAAACATTTTTATACAATTATACAGGGTGGTCCAGACAGCGACGTCTAAAAAATTTTTTTTGATTGCTCCCACCTAGGGGTACCCGAAAACACTTCATGTATGTTCTGCGATGTTTTGTAGTTTTCGAGATATGATTTTTTTATGATTTCATAGGAAATACATGGGATGTTTTCGGGTAACCCTATTAAAACTATTGACGTCGCTGTCTGGGGCCATCCTGTATGTATAAATTTTTATTTTTACTATACCAATATCCAAAATAATTTGAACTAAACAAAAGATCATTATAATGGAGTTTGAGATACAAACCTCATTTTAGGGTTTTTGGCAACAGTTTCTTTGGCGACTAGACTAAAGTTCATTACTGTAACACTTTCATAATCCAAGAATGACGGATCATTTACTCTTATCAAGAATGAAGCTTCATTTATACCCTTAAAAGGTGTAACATCAAAGACACCATGGTCCCCTTCCAAGTATAATTCAAATGTTCCATTCTTACCCTGAAATACTCAAATGCATAAATAAATAATTTATTAGACTACATGACATTGGACTAATCCTAACTTATATGTCAAAAATGCTACCTATGTTATGGAAACAAGGTTCAATTTAGATATAGTTAATTGCCGAAAAATATAGGAAATTATTTTATATGTAGTGATCAAAATTATTATTTAGGAATAAAATTTTGTTTTTATCATAGGAAAATAGATTTAATTCTTGATTGCTTCTTAATAAGTGAATAAGCAAGGCAGTATTGAATAAGCTTTATGATAAACAAAATTGCATATCTCTATTATTTATATTAATTTACCTATTATATTGAGATATGCAATTTTGTTGATAGATAGCTAAAAGCAGTCTTGTATGGGTGGTTGGGAATATTTGACAAGGAATAAAATCAAAATATTTTTTTTACTGTGATCTCCAAATTTATAATACAAAGAAGATTATACCAACCTGATCATAATCATATACTTCAGGTAATGCATCCTTGAGAAATGTTATTGGTGTGTTTTGTTGAGCATTCTCTAACACCTCTCCGATATACCTCTCACTTCTGAATCTAGGAGTTTCATCATTCACATCGGTTACTATGATGGTTACCTCTGTGGTAGTACTTGGCAAGGGTGAAACTGTCCTTGATTCTTCAGTTGCCTTAAAAGTAACATATTAAATGAAATTAATTATTAAGCTATTAGGGTTTAAAATAGAATGAGGAAATTTCACAGTTTTGAACTATATCACATGTTGTTAACTGTACATTATGCCAAATGGAGGTTTGATATATTTTAAATATCATAAGTGGTATTGGGTTCAGACCCAGTCAGCTTTGTCTAGGATAAATTTGGAGAAATCAATAAAAATGTTAACATACCAATATTTCCAGAATATATGCTCCGTTGCTGTTGTTAGGATCCTCTCTGTCAAGCTGGTTGATAGTGTAAACAATTCCTGAACTGCTATCAATGTCAAAGTGTTCTTCCCCACCAGCAATGATACTGTATGATATTCGGTTATTGATGCCTCTGTCACCGTCAATAGCACGGACTGTAAATTTACAAGACCATGTTCAGTGGGCTTATAATTATTAGCTTAATAAATGAAACGTCACGGACGTAGAAAAATAAATTCTAATAACTGATGGTTATCCTGGATTTGAACTTGATTATTTATTTTAAGAAGAAGCATTTAAAAATGAAAATAAAAATGTTACTTGCTATGTCTAATTTTCATACGAAAACATTGTCTAAGATAAATATAGAGTTTATAAACCAACTATTACTTCAAACAGAATTCAACAAAAAATAGAAGACACTATGAAATGTAATTAAAATGCTATCAATGTCCTAAAGTTATTGATGGCATTTATTAGCATCATACATTAAAATAAATAACCTTAGTTAAAGCAAACTCATCTCTTTCTCAAATAACTGATTGTCATATCATGATTTAGTGATTCAAGTAGAAATTATGTTTATTATAAAGTAGGAAAGAGTTATACCTTGTAACACTGACGTTCCAACGGGTGCATCTTCACTTATTCTTGTTACAGGACTTACTACCACAAACTCAGGTGGTTGGTCTTCTTGGTCTTTGACTTTCACTAATATAGCGGCAGTGCCAGTATTCACGCGTCCTTTATTTGCTCGGTCCACAGCCAATACACGCAATTGATATAGCGATTTGCGTTCGTAATCTAAAGTATTTGTAAGTCTGATCACACCTTTACCATTCACAGTTTGTACTGAAAAGTTTTCCACGTCTCCATCAACTTCTTGTAAGTGATACAGCACCTTTAATTAATCGAATTTTGGACATAACAAAATATTATTATAATAATCTATCGCATCAGTAACAACAATATAAAAAATCAGATCAGCTGATTTGTTATGACTTTTTATTTCTTTTTTATTAACGGCTTTGGAGTCATGTATATTTAGAGTTTTAACTTTTGTTAACGTTAATACCTCATTACGATACAGATTAATGTATTTGAAGAACAAACCACGGATAAATGAAGTCTATCTAAAAATAAGATTTATTTAGACTACCTAGAGTCTAGATAGTCTAAATTAATCTAAAGTCTAGATTCTAGACTATAACTATTTTAAAATATTTCTCTGTAGATCATTTGCCTGATAGCCAAAATAATGTCCGAGAAAAAACAGCTTTTTAGGGGTCAGTAACTCAGTAGGTGGCCGAAAGGTAAAAGAATAGAACATTTATAGATTCTCCATTTCTGTCTATCTTTAGATATAAGCAGCGACATAAAAAAGCGTCTCTACCAGATGGTGACTCTAGCATAAATTGATTTTTGCAGGAAACGAATGGACCAAAGACAGTCATTTCCGTTCCTTTTAACTAACATATTGAAAAACTGAAATTTGAAAAGTTCGAAACTTAGATATCAATACAAATACGAAAAAGTACAAATTGAATATGAGTTGTTTATTGAGTTTTGAAAACTAATATACTTTTAAACATGAAAGAAACCGGAAGGGTTGTCATGGAGAAATCAAGAACGTACCGTAGCGACATCTAGTTTGATTTCCGGAACTAATGTTTTTTAAATACTTCCTCATTGTAAAGGTCCTTTTACGCCGGGCGACATTTTAGGTTTGACCCTTAACCCTCTGGTTGCTGACCAAATTCCGTACCATATTAGGCATATGCAGGGTGCATAATTTTTTTACCTTTTAGAATAAGTGAGTGAGGTCTCATTGAACACTATTACTTACCAAAAACTAGTTTGAACGAGATTTAGTGCGTTAATAAGCAGTTTTTTAAATAAGTATTGCACGTTTTCGAAAATGGAAAATACAACTTGGTCACTTATAAAAAAATAAGTGTAATCATAAAAATTTAAGAACACCCATTGGTCCTTGACGTACGGTCTCCTATTAAATACTTATAGATATATGTATGTACCTAACTCATCCGTTTAATATATTTAATAGGATTTGATTATATTAGCCCCGTTCTGGGTGTCGAGCAATTAGTCACTGGACTGTTTTTTTCATTACAATCAAATTAAAATTCAGAGGTTACTAAGTTAGCGTGGCACGCTACCCTAGTAACCATAGATATTAATGATTTGTGTTGGTCCATCGTAGCAACCCAAATTGCTATTAATGCAAAGCCTTTGACTTATTTTCTCTCTAATTATAAGTGTCCGACCAAAGGTCTATTTTTTGCCGAAGCCGAAGGTTTCGCCGAAGATGATTTTTTTGGCCGAAGGTGGCCGATGCCGAAGCCGAAGCTTCGGTCGGACACTACTAATTATATAAAATATATTTCTTACTTGTCCATAAGCTCCTTCGTCAAGGTCAGTTGCTTCTACCGTAGCTATAATGCCAGGTGCTGAATTTTCTTTTACGGCAATAGCTGTTGGATACGGTTTAAATATTGGTTCGTTGTCGTTGACGTCTTCGACTAACAACAAAAAACTTTGTGTGACGAAATTGCCTTCCCCCAAGTGTCCGTCAGTCAACGTAAGGACAAAAGAGTATTCATCTCTGACCTAAAACATGAAATGGAAAATTGAACTTTAAAATATACATCAAAAATATTCATGTTAAACGATATCCTACATAATGAGTATTAAGGTATTAAAAACGTAAAGTTCTTTTTTCAAACTTTAAAAATTAATGCATTGGTGCACATTCCTAACGAGACGATAAATTAAAAAGTAAAGATTATTTGCTCACCATAAAAAAGCGTATTTAAAATAAACAAAGTTGCTACTTACCTCTCTATCTAATTCCTTAACTAAATAAATATTTGCTTCGTTGGATGAAATGGCTTCTAATCTAATAATATCACTACCCACTTGATCTCTTAATCCAAATCTCAGTGTGTCCCCATCGGGGTCAACACCTTTCAGCCGATGTATGAGACTACCTGTATAAAATATATAGTAAATTAATACTTAGATTTGTGTAGCTTATTATTATTAGATTTTATAAATAAAGGATTGATTTTAAATAATCCTAAAGATGGAAAAATAATAACTACTTAGTTATTATAAAGTAATAGAGATTTGGCAACCAATTGGTTAACAGTTCGAAAGAGGTTTCTTAAATATGAAACGCCTGTATTATGTTATACATTACTTTTGTATGTGAAAGTACATTATTTGTATGATATTTTTTTAAAATGCTGTTAACATAATAAGTTAAGTCTTCATGCGTATCATTTAACATATATTTTGAGTTCAATGAAACAATTCTTCCGGTTATCTATACTAATATTATAAATAGGAATTGATTGTTTGGTTGCATGTTTACCGATTATTGTATTGGGTCACCAATTTACTGAAATGTTATGTGTTTTATTTATTAGTATATAGGTTGATATTTAACTTATTGATAAGTTTACTATCTGACTCTATTTATACGAAGGATCGGTAAAACAAATAAACGTGTTCACAGTTATGAGTTTACTTTCAGACTATATGATGTTGAAGTGCCACTTACAAAATACAAAATATCATAGATTACGTTGCCACAGAGTGGTCGACAAAGATTATAAAACAGATGTGCCACACATGAAATAGGTCCCAGAAGTTAGGGGGATGAAAAAAAATCACATACGGGAAGCTACACCATACGCGGGTGTCATAGGCTATAATTTACGCGGACGAAGTCGCCAGAACAACTAGTTTTGGTATATAAAAACAAAAGTACCTACTGATCATTTTGATTAAATGTATAAGACCACCGGTTGGGTTTATTTTATCCGATAAAAAACAGAATTACAAAATCGAACTGTTCTGTAAAAAGTTAAGCCTGGTCGTAAACACAAAAAATGTACGCTTCGTCTTGAGAACTTCCTCTGTTTGTTTGTAGTTAAAAAATATGATAAGTTATCTTAGTAAAAAGGTGGATCTGAATTTGAGCGGATGTGTTAATATGACGTTTACACAGAAACTATGTCCAAAAAAGCTTTTATAAAATCAAGAAAACAACATCTTTCCTACTAATATTATAAATAAGAAAGTTTGTGAGGATGTATGTATGTTTGTTACTTTTTCACAAAAAAACTAGTGGATGGATTTTGATGAAATTTGGTTTACGGATGCTTCTCAGCACGGCTACTTTTTATCTCACTAAATAGTTCCCTAGGGCCCTATTATTTCTTATCATAATCAAAAGGTGAATTTATTATACATTTTCGCCAAACAACCCTGTGACTTGTACGTTCCAAATCAATATAGCTAACAAATTATTAAATAAGTGTTCCCTTAATAAAAAAAAATATATAACAGCTGATTACGTTAGTAATGTTTGTTACACGATATCGAGTAAGCGATAACCGCAAGTGTTCGGGAACCGTAGGGCTTCCCCCTGTTGGCCGTCAGTCGTCTTGGAAACCCCATTCGATATGATCCCCATGCAACCGACAATTTCCGGTAATCGGTATCGTTCTATGACTAACGCTTTTTTGAAATTTTAATGAAGCGAAGGGAAGCTTGCATTATATCGTTCAATTTGGCATAGAAACAGTTGAATGGATGTTAATCGATTATTAACCGATTATTATAAAGGTACTTGGAGATTAAAAATAACTTAGCTCTAAACTTCTAAAGTAATATCGATTAAAACCTTTAGCAATTTATTTTTTGTATTGAAAATTGTGTTTATTTGAATCAGGATTATTTAATAAGCAGAAGGATTTTTTTATTCTTCTACATTTTTACTGTTAAAAACAGCTTCGAATTCGTCGTCAAACGCATTGCTGTTACGATATATGAAATAATTTTTTATTTCATGGTAAAAAGTTTTGCCATGTTCTGCGTTCGTCGACGATTTTTATACTGTTTTTATAACAGAATAGCACTATAGATACTCATACCAGGCGATATGGATCTTTGTTTATTTCTTAGTTTGATTGTCACTATTATGGAAGGTATAGGTAATGGTAATAACCTTTTAATCGCATTTGCGCTTCTATTCACGCAAACCAAGTTATATTCTTAGTGATAAAATCTTAAAAAATCCACTTTGTCTCTGGCACTCTGGGATGGGGATCGATTGCGAAAGGTCATGTGTTCGATTCCCATTTCAGAGTGCCACTGACATATGCCGCTGGCACTCTGAGATTTCTAAGACAAAGTGGTTTTCTTAGTATTTTACACTAAGAACATTTTTCAGTATAACAAGAATTCACAGATTCAAAATGGATATCATAAGTTTGATTTTAAACTTACCTACTGGTGTATCCGGGCCTTCTTTCAGTCTTACCACTATTTCTGATTGGCCATCTATTAGAAACCTGGGTGGTCTGTTGGCAGTGACTGTTTGTAACATTAACAGCAGGCACCATGCCAGTTTTAACCGGACCCGTGCCGGTTTGCCGGCCACCCTTTGGTTCATGCTGGATCACCTGCAATCCATATTCCAATATCAATATTTTTGATACAATATAAATATTAGACAACACCGAGTAGCTAAAGCTCCCGTATTATGGAGTATCTGAGACAACGATTGTATCACAAAACCCAGACCCGAGACAATATAGAAAAGTTTATTTTCAAAACTGACCCGACCGGGAATCGAATCAGAAAAGACGACACCTTGACACCGGTTTGCGAACCACTGGGCTATGGAGGGTCTTCAAACATAAATAACGTATAAAGGACGTTGACGCCGTGTTGTTATTATATTTTATTACAATGTTATGTCCGTCTTTGACGTGTTCGATGCTTAGGCAAATGAATAAAAGGCTGACTTATTTAAGAACTCGATTTAATAATTGGCAACAAAAAACTGTAACAAACAAAAAAGGAAAATAAAAACAGTTCGTATAATTCCCAAATATTAATAACATCATAATTATTAAATAGTTATATGGTGAATTCAAACTCATGAGCATAATAAATAAATTTTAACACTTTTTATAACAAATTTTTCTTGAATGAAATTAAGTATGTATAATGTTTCTAATTTGACGAATTTTCACGAACTGACATTCATAAAGAGCTTAATGGATTAATGATACTCAAAATTTGAAATTACGAAAGGTTGTGTTTGATCTTCAACTTTATTTATTTTTATTATTCATAAAAATGAATAATGTTGAAGATCAGAGCAAAAAGTTTGCATGTAGGACGAAATAAACGGCGATACGACGCATCGTTACACGTGTACGAGTAGGTTCAAGTTAGAAGAATAAATGTAGTTGAAATCACCCTGTTTCAAAGACTTGAATTCTTATCGAATGTGTAGACAGTGTAAGAGCTCGATGGCGTAGTTTTTAGTGCGCTCGGTCTGCGATACGGTTGTTAAGCAACTTACGCAATGGGCGGTCATAGGATGGGTGACCAAAAATATGTTATGTCGATCTCCTACGTGATTCGGAAGGCGCGTTAAGCCGTTGGTCTCGACTGCATCTGCTGTCGTTAGCACCCACATCATGCGTCATGCCTATTCTCCCTATTCCATTCTATTCAATCTATAGGGAAGGCCTGTTCCTCAGCAGATGATGACGATGATGATGATATTAATCGGGCCAATATCATACCTGAAACATCTGTGCCTGATTTCCAGTTGAACGTAGCGCATTATGGTTTTCCTCGTGATGCCTTCGCGCTACCGTGGGAACGCCAGGCGTGTGCTATACTGGAGAAAGTGCGACTCTTCAACGATTTAATCCTCTCTACGTGCCGATGATTCGCGGCCACCTGCAATCAGACAGGTGTCACTTCATTGTCGTCTTGTTATATTTGAAAGCGATTTGTCATTTATTTGTTAGAAATTTTCTTTCGTTGATTTGTGATTTTAGAAATTTTTATCTATGAAATGGTTCATATAAAAACATTAAACTGATTTGTCAAATAGATTTGTAATTCTTTTTTACAATATATTTTGTGAATTTATATAACTCCGTTTCTTAAAAACAGTGGTTAACCAATCATCTTCACATAACTCATAATAAATCACACTCTTAGCTTTTTATATTATAATAAACATGAGTTTTTATCAATTTTCAACAAATGTATCTGAAATGATTACGATGGTTGAATTCTCAATATTGTATTCGTCTTACAAAAACAAAAACGCCTTAAAAATGTGGTAAATTCACAAAAACTAAAGCGTCGTAAAGAATCATCTACTTCAGTTTTATTAAAAGCGCATTAAGTATATTTTGGTGTAGGTACATTTAGATAAAAATTCTGTTAGTGTTAGTGATGAGTGCTCCCGCTACACTGCTATGAAATCATGGTTGGAGGCATTGCGAAAAGCATTTTTACTTCCTTAATTTAAATACAACTCAATAAGAATTAACTAGAGATTACCTGACGGTCTTCATCTATTTCTGATAGGTTAGGAAAATGGAATGTTCCAATTATCAACATCTTAAGTACCTATGTATTTGTATGAATTAGCGCGTGTAACTTAACTTTTGTTAAGTATAGTGGTGCTATTGTCTTCAACTGTGTCGTTGAGCACACTCTGCTACTAGGCTAATGTACATTTTCATTAACTTGTATGTCAGACAAATGAGAGACAATTTGCTTAAATAATACTTACGTTTTATAGAAACAGTGGTTTGTAGCGTGCCTAGTGTGAAATTACTGACTTTATAAGTGACAGTACGACAGACAATACGTTTGACTTATAGGTGACCTACTATGAAATTGAAAACAGTTAAATTTTAAATAATATTAAAAAATCCTTTAATAGCTGTCAGTGGAAGTGAAAATTGAACGAACGTTAATGTAATAAAATATTTATTACAGTTGTATTCTTAAATTGCCCAATCTCTTAATTTCAAACTTTAATTTGTTACAGTGTAAGTCTAAAATTGGTTTAAAAGTCTAAAACGTATTGCTTGTAGGTATATAAAAAGGTATAAAAAATTAATTAAATATAAACCGTGAAGTGTAGAAACAACACAGAAAAACTAAAACTTATGCCGTACTCGTTGTGCAATCAGACTTTTTACAGTTCCAGAAAAAAATGTGATTATCATTTAACGAAAGTAAGTAAATAAAATCTTTAACTTATTATTGGTTCAAGATTTCATAGATTTTTATCAGAAATAGTGTGAAACAAAAGCTAATAAATTTAACAATATTAGCATGATTTATATAATTATTTATTTATACGATTACGAAGAAGCCTTGAAGAAGAAGAATGATAACAAAAGAAAGTATCGTAAAATATAAAAATCTTAGTCGAACGATATAATATATAGGAAAGTAACCAAATATGGAATACTAAAATTTCATATTTAATTGGGGAAAATTTGTAAATTGCCTATAAGTCCAAACAGTCTACTTGCGAATTTGCTTGACTCAAGTTTATTAATTTCCTTTATGAGGAATAATTTAATAAGAGACTACAGTATTCTGTATTGGGAATACTATTGCATACAAATATAGAACAGTATTCCCAAGAAAGTTTCTGAACTATTCTGTCTAAATATATTTTCTACACTATCAATGAAAAAAAAACCTAAACGACGTTACACTAACACGGATAACACTAAAATGCCTAACAAAAAACTAATTAATTAATTATAATATTACATGAACATTGCATTAAATAGTGTAACAAAGACTATATGTAATGAGGTTCATTCACACGCATCACGACAATCAGAACTCAGAACAATTGACAATTACGTAAAAAACAATTAGAAATGACCTCGCGACCTCGCCGGATACGTGGCGTATGCAACATATGTCTGACGTAGATTTTGGTGAAAAATATGGCGAATATACACAGGGCTATCACTACAGATTAAAAAAATATTATTGTAATTGAATTGGTAATTGCAAGATTTCCCACAACTTCGCCGGCGTAAAGCTTATATCAATCGCTTTTGATATAGCTACCCGTAGGTGACTTAACGGATGGTAGTGTATGGGGTATCATTAGATTCGTTACATCCTGAGTGGCACTGGCTATATATTTATTAAAAATATCTAATATGGCGGATGTATGTAATCAATAAAAAAAATCATCAAATCATTAAAGATTTTTTCTTTAAATAGCAATATATGGGTATCAAATTCCAAAAATATATGCTCTTGCATATTCACTATTATATTTTAAAGGAATAAAATAAAAATAAATAATGAAAAAAATTACTGCCTACATCAAACTAAAAATAAAACAGAAGTTCTATTATGGCTTGGCTAAGCAAAATTGACATTGCAGTTAGGGGACCTCTTAGGTTACAATTTTTTAAGGTCTTGTTTTTTAATTTTTAAATTATTTACATTTTAGTTTTTTTTGAGGTTATTCCTAACGTTACAGTTCTCATTTTTATCGAGGTGATCGATATAATATACTTCATATTTTAACTTTATAAATACCAGATAAAATCACAGATTGTTAAGTGCCTTGTTTTTTTGTAAAAATATTATACAAATCCGAAAAATGGAGGCACCATCAACACTTAGACCCGAGATCTGACCGATAATCGAATCCAAACTTCAGAGTAGCGCGTTGAAATCTTTTAGTCTCACCAAGATATTAGAAAAACTTTAACCTATTTGAATGATAAATCGCAATGGTCTGAAACGTTATTTCGCGTCAATTAATTTAGTACGCTATAATGTTTATTTACTTTCTACTGTATCATCGATTTGTTGAGGTTAGCCCTACCGTTGTGCCGTTCGCGTAGAAACAAAGTGGTCAAGCAGCGAAACGGTGGCGAAGGCCAATGACTATTGTATGACAGCTATCGGCGACTGACCTTAGTTCATCATTATAATTTCTATTAATCACTTTAAAGGGTTCTATGAGAACAAAAAATACTAATGGAACGTTAAAAATGGCTATCACGTATTTCACTTGTGCTGCTTATATATACTATATTGAATAAATCAATTGATCTTTTAGCTGTCTATTCAAAATAATAGTATAAGGCAGATTATCTGGTTTTCGCAACTGCCTCCCTTTTGGCCATTTGGGACTTTAAAACGTTTATATATAGGAATATATATAACTTTCCGGTACACATTTTTTTTATATTTTTTATTGTTTTAACGGCACTGGGTTGAGGTTGAAGTTGCCAGCTGTGATGTATCAAATTCCACTTCCTGCTAACTTTTAGAATGGCGAAAATTACCTAACCTATGGAATTAATAAATATGTAAATAAAGAGTACTTTATTTAAACTACTGCGCGTGCGTACTGATGTTTTGTGCTTTACTTTGTGGTATTTATTAATCTCTGAGAAATATGGCTACATTTTGAAATAATAATTAGCAGTTTATTATTATCAAGTTAATTAAGCTAATATAAAAGGGATTAGTGAAATAATAGCATTAAATGTTGTTTCTCTTTCAGTTAAGATTTATAGATATAAGATTTATTAATATATTGTAAATGTTTGTTTCTCAATAAACAATTGTCTATCA